TGCACTTTCAGCTCACCTCTGGGTATGGGTCGTATAAAGTGATCTACTTGCTTGTTTTGGTCGAACACTGAGCGGAGAATGGCTTTGTACGGCCAAGTTTGCACTTTGCACGCACAATTTCTTAGCAAAATAATGGCCTTCAAAGGCTTATAATTTCGTCCACAAAAGCGCTCTGCAGATAAGGAAGACAGATTCAGAGTCAGCGTTTTATGCTGCATCTAATGGTACGCAGTTTGTATGGATTGGGCACTTCGACTTCTGACCATTTCCTTGTAAGTTCAAAATTTTCTTTGATGGATTGCTGATTTGAAAGCGAGATAATCCACATATTCCATTTTAGTCACTTTCCTCAGTCGAAAACTGGTTGAATTATTCATGGCTCCATAGACTTCAAAATCAGTAGCTATAGTCATCGAATTTTTGATAAGTGATACTAGCAGAGTAGGGAGAATATTCAGAGAAAAAGTCAGTTGATAGAAACATTTTGCCGCCAGCGAATTTATGGAGGCGAAGTGCTGCTGCCGTCGCCGTCGATGCGAGCGATAGGCGGAGCATAATTGGATGCGCCGGTGTGTGGTAAACAGAAGTAGGATGTGTGTACCTACTGATGATTCGTGGCTAGAACTTGCAGACATCTTGTCTGATAGGAGGTGACAGCGAGAAGCACCGAGTTCTGTGATGGGGGAGGTGGAGAAGTGTTAAAAGCCACGCATAGATTGACATTTGGTCGCGATCGGTTTGATTAACTGCTAACTGGAAAGCTATTTATGAGTACTTGAGGCGGAAGGGGCAGCAGAGCAGGAAGTGACTTGCTCTACATAGTTAAAGCTATTTTTAGATATGCTGCTTTGCAGCTTCGCTGTAAAGTTTTGCGAGGAAAAGTTTGTACGAAAATGACTAGAGTATGTGTAAGAGATGATAAGAAGCATCAGATTAGCACAGGAGTCATGTCAATGAGAACCTTACATATCTATGAACCAGTGGCGTACCGAGGGAGGGGAGGGGGGGGGGGGCGCCCCCCCCCGAGAACGGGTCGCGAAATTTTTGAAAGTTACTTACATGAATTGTAAAAATGCGCAAGTGGCTTGTTTGCGCTTGTAAATAATTAGGAATATTTTTTAAAATTTTTTAAAAATTCATTTTAGCCCTATAAAAAATTTTTTTTTCGGGGGCGGCCCCCCCCCCTCGAGCCGAAATCCTGGGTACGCCACTGCTATAAACCTATACTCAAATCGGATAGGCTGTTCACAGTAAAGTGGTCTAAACGGTATCCGACGCAGTTTCTCTTTCTATTTTCAGCATGCTTACGTGGATTCTATGTATGCTTGCTGGATTCCCGTAGGTGATAGAATCGCAAATTTCAAACCCTTAGTTTCTACAACGAATTCTGCAGTCGCTCTGGATGTATGCTAAAATTATGAATAATGTAATACTTTTGATTCACGTTTGATTATTTCGCGAAATTAAAGGGTAATAATGATCGAATTTCGAACCAGCCAAGTCTCAAGGGATTTGAAACTTTGATGCCTTCTTGTTTTATGCAGTTTTTCAGAATTGGGGGCTTTCGGGAAATTTCAAGGAGATGTCAAGGTTAAGAATGAAAAATTCTCCTTACTTTTGACGAAACCTAGTACAAGGATAACTTCGTCTTGATTCTTCAATTTGGATATTGCCCCAAGAGGGAGGGGATTTATCATAGATAAATCATGCTAATCATGCTAAATTTTTGAGATCTGCTTGATCTCCTATAATCCAAGCGTTAAGTCTTCCATTCATATAACTTAAACGTATTTCGCCCTTCTATTCTGAACGAGTTCGTGCCATCCTGAGCACTGGCAGATCCTTTACTTACTATGATCCATCAATGCTTCTAGATATCTTTTATCGTTGACGCCTGATCTTTGGTGTCTCACTAATACTCGTGGAACGAAAGTGATGTTGGTCTGTTTGAGTACTTTTTGCCCTTTGTTTTCACCGTGATCATTTAGCACATAGAGGGCATGACCAGTAGAAGCTTTTGCGGTTTTTGGGACTTGTTTATGGATGACGGGAGAGCATATTCAATTTGACTTTCCACCTTGTTTATCACTCAAGTCTGTGCCGAGCTCATCTGCATTTTGGCGATATTCGATTTGGCGAAGGTGCTCTTAAAAAATATGCAATAGAATGGAATGTTTTTTTTGGTTGTAGTTGTCTGATGTGGGGTTAAAAAACTTCTTAGGTGCGTGACTTTTAAAAATTAAATGGGTAAAAAATTAGGAAAGAATGTGAGAGAAGTTGAATTGCGTAATACAGTTTACAGGCATAGACTAATGGCTCAAAATTAGCAGAGAGATTGGTGAGGGCCGTATAGATGACTTATATTGATTTTAAAAATCTCGTGTGCATCAAGAATGAATGATACTCTGACGGCGCAACATGTAGGCTGTTTTCAAGTTTTAATTAGTAACATCTGAGGAATAACAATTCAAGCGAGAGACACAAAAACTGGTGAGGGGAAGCCATGTATGAAAGGAATCGAACGAGGCCAATATAGGACTCTAGCAAAGGCGAAAAGATTGAGAAATGTTCCGGTAATGGAGCAGTTGTTTACAGTAGCTTTCATACTTATACCTGAAGTGGAATAAACGTTGTTTATCATACTACCCACTCACATCTAGATGGAGGTGGTGAAGCGTAAAAACTTGGAGCAGGAAACGATTGGATGTGGAAGGCCACACTTTACTTAATATATTTTGTGGGGATTTATAGCAAGATTTGTAAGTGAAGCTGCTTTTCGAGGCAAATTTTGAGTGCAGCCAGGTTGTCCTCATCCCCTGCGAGTTGATTCTGTAGATGAAAGCTCACTGGAGAACAGAAGTCAAAGTTTGAGTAACACATATGCGCATAATTGTTGACAGTCTTCTGAACATCTGGTTTACAGAAAAGTTATAAACAAGTATGTGTAAAATGTCACAAAGGGTACTAGCACGGGTCCTCACTCCCTAAAACAACATCAATTCATCCTTAATGGTGCGTTTACATGTTTTTTTTCGAAAACTAGCTCCTGCAAAGGTGTATGCACATATCTGTTTTGAAGACTACTCAAAGACACAATTTTTCAGTGTTCGCTAATGGATTCTAACGAATGTGTTGGGCTTCATTAGAAGGAGGCGGAAATCTTGAGCGTTTTTTTCTTCGAAAGTTTGGTTTCGCTTTCGTCAATCACGATGCTCAAGTGTCTTTCCGGAAACTTGATTCTCTCCCCAGGCTCTATTCCCTAAAGTATCATTATGTTCCCAAGAGATTAAGAGATGAAGGAAATGCGGGGTATATGAAATGAAGAAAGTTATCAAGGAAATAAACTATGACAAGCTGAAGGCATCCTTGTTTTTGTTGTTGTTTTCCCGAAGTTACCTTATGAAAGGAAATTTGATTTTGTTTGTATGTCGGTGACGACGTTCCGAAAGTAAAATCGAGTTGGCAGCGTCGATAGAAAGTGAATTGGTAACGTTTTTCTGGCCTGGTTGTGAAGTTAGTGCAAAACTGGTTCGCTGGATCCCGGGAGATTTTTAGAGCTGCGAACTTGCAGCTTTTGGAAGGCTATAAGCAGTAATCTAGTTATTTCCGGATGCGCTGGTGATTTGTGCTCTCGGGTCTGAAAGAGCAGTTGTTGGGAGATATATTCTTTTTTTGTGGTCGATTTTTTTTTTGCGATTTTGTCAATTAGAGTGTAATTATATTCTTAGACAAAGTGAGATTTATCTAGAGTTCAGAGTGTTTGAAATTTTATGGGAGGAAAATGGTAGACTTTCACAGCAATTTGGTTTGGAGCAAAAGCTGCAAGTCAAATCAGTAGAGAAATTAGTGTAAGCCTGTGCCACCTACAATTATATATTCAATCATAATTTCAGAGCTCCGAATAGAGTTCTGAATATACTCTCAATGAACTGCAACATCGACACATTCTAAAACTTCTGTAGTCATTTTTGATGTAACTTTTAGCAGCTGGTAGATTCGTGTTAAATTAAAGATGTGTTTTATCTACCGAGTTTTTTTTTGCTGCAGGGAAGAAATGATCTGGAAAAAAGGATGTTTTCAAACAGAATATGTCATAATTTTTCCCTCTACGATAGAATTATGGCGAAAAAAATGGTAGTTTGGTTAATTTATAGAGTCTCTGAATGAGATATGCCTACGAAAAGCGCGAAGTACTGCTACTAATAGCACTGATTGCATGAAAGCAGATGAACTTTATTTACGCTCATAGCGCCTAGACACAAGCAAAAGGCCAAATTTATACTCAGACACTCCAGTATTTGCGAGACATGACGTTTAACGCGGGATTAACCTTGCTAATATCCTTTTATCCCCCCTCCCCCCGAGTCTTATTCATGGAGGTTAATTTCTATGAGAGATGCCTCCGGATTACGTGAATTATCGCAAGAAACACTACCAAGTTCAAGAATAGATTATTTGCGTCGTTGAAGAGACATGCTCTGCGTGACTGCATTAATTGATGAGTTAAGGAAAAGTGACTTTGAGGTGAACCGGAAGGAAGAGAACTTCAAACAATGTTCATGTGGTAGAATCCTTAGCAAATCAGTATGAATAGTTGACGTCTAGTTTGGAAAATATGCCAATTTTTACATTATGACAGTAAGGCATTGTCATCTTTGAAGAAAAAATTTATGCAGAAATTGGGCATTTTTCATCGCTAACATAAAAAAGTGGAACACAAACCTTCCAAAACATAATCTTGCAATTGAACGTTTAGTCTAGATAACGAGACGAAAACCAAATGTAGGATGAATGCAAGAGAGAAGTTTCGCTTCCTCTGAACTTTGGTTACTCTAACTGTCTAGAGAACAAACGAATGATCTTGTTTACCCCTATTCCTTACAAAGGATGACTGCCAGACGCGGAAAAAATGCCCTCATTTTTTTCTCGAAAAGCATTTAGAAGTGCAAATCGTTCTTGAGCTGTTTGTTTTGTTCCCCTGCCAAGTCTGTTTGTTACAGCTGAGACTACCGGAAAATGTAAACGAAGACATCCAAGAGGATCCGACGGCCTTACGCTCGCTATGGGATCGTGGATTATTAAATGGAGCTTCGCAAAAGGTGAGTGCAGGGAGTTTTTCATTGGACTTTTTGGATTTTTATTGGGGAAATTTCTAATAGGTTGTCCCTACGTCTTGGACCAGAAATCACAAAAAACAAATTCTGGGAGATTATCAACAAGGGTCGATCCATATCATATAATTTTTCTTATTTTCAATTGTTTTTTAAATAAAAAGATTTATAAGCAAAATCAGTATTTCAAAAAGATAAAGCAAAATTCCGAAGATCGTCTTCTTGTCATAGACATTCGATGAGCATAAACTCTCTCGGTGACAAACGAAACCAAAAAAGCAAGTTTAAAAGGGACACAATGCAATTGTCAAACCAAAATAATGCAATGAAAATGGAGGAGTTTGCGCATATTCGGATAATTTGGTGCGAGACGTATGTTACAATATTTTTATGGAAGTTATCTTTTTTCCGTTGTTCCGAAAAAGAGATTTTATGGCTGTTACTGAATGTGTGACCTAAAAAATAGTAAAAAATTGGCGAGCATTATTAGTGAGAAAGAGTTGAAAATCGGTTTTTGGAGGGAGCTAGCTTGATAATCAAAGAATGTAAATTACATCTCTTCCTTTGCGATCGCAAATGACGTCTTACACAGAGTACCTCAGACAGAAAGAGGGCACATTTTGGCATAATCGACGAATTATTTGCCTTGTTCGTGCATATAAGCCTGTCTAATCGTCGCTCCGCTGTACACGCTTTCAAATAGAAAGAAAACGTCGATCAAACTTTTTCCCTTTCAACAACCGCGAAAGTGCAACAATTTGCGACTAAACGAAATGACAATTTCCCGAGGGAAAGTTGTGCCGAAAATCGCAAATGAGGCTTTTCTGAGAATTTTCGTCAACTTTCTATAGGCGAGTTAGAAACCTTTTTTGCAGGTCGATCAAATAGCTGTGTTCTATACTGGAGATCTGGTGACATCGTTGCAAAAGACATCATTAGTGCCAGGAGCCAATGAGTGTTTGATTTATACTACAATTGGAGGAGCGATCGGAGTTTTGGTACCGTTCATATCAAAAGACGTGAGTTTGTGCTTTTATATTTGGTAGTAAAGCTTATGGGCAAACTATTTCTAAGTGGCCTCAGGTCTATAGACCTAAGCTCTAAAAAAACTCCCACTTCCTTGATTTTATAGTCTTTTCGACTTTGAGGCAGATTTGCTACAGAGATCTGAGATTGCTGGTTTTTTTATTAGGAGAATATCTGACGCCTTCATTGAACGTCCACTTTTTATTTATCCTCTCGAGTAGCGCAATCTTCTCTCAGAGGGAAAGTCGTTAGCCGAGGCGCTCAAAATTTGTAGGCAAGTAGCCAGAATATGACTTCGAGCAGTTTCAGGCATGACTTTTCTGAAATGGCTATCCCAAATTTGAGAGTACCAATAACAGAAACAAAAGGTTTTTGGCCGATCTCGTTGAGTAACTTCAGATTACACAGTAGCAGTGAGAACCTCAGATTGTGTACTTGATCTGTTTCTTTGGACGCGATTCATGTATATCAATAAGGAAGTAAACGATATAATGGACTAATTCAGCGAAAACAAAATTATGTCTCGGCATCTGCCTTATGAGGCCATGCTTAAGAAAATTGAACATCAGTAAACAGCACTGTTAGCTTTATATAATCAAAGTGGGATTCTGGTCAAAAGCATCTAGTTAATGCGATTTCGCAGAACTCCTTATGATAATCTTTGTGATGATATAATTTGCCAAGATCTCATGGCTGTAGAAAGGCATCAAGACCTAATAAGCTCAAGTATGCACCTTTTAAATGTGAGTAAAACAAAAACGGTAATGTTTTGTCGCTGATAAGAGTGCTGGAGATGGGGGCTATCCACGTGATTGAACATATTTTTGAGCACCAATACCTCCTGATTTTTTTACAGTTTTGCTTGAATTCCTGCATCTGTCGATCGTGTCAAGTTATTGGCAATGTTCGAAGCACTGTCCATGCAGATCTAAGATTGAGAAGACTTTGGTGTCTGTTAGCGGGCCACTTATCAAGTAAACTGCTTAACTTGCACTGCAAAAGTTGTATTATTTGAGAAGGGGTCTTGCCTAAGAGCGACACACTCATGACCATAGGTGGTCTGGAGGTGTTGAACCTATAACCTCTAGAGTATTGAAATATTGTAAATCTCAATTTGACTGCGATAAATTCTTGGTGTTTCCACGTTTCCTAGAGTCTAAATTCGGGCTCAGTACTCTAAGCCAACCATGAATGGGCGTGTCGACCCCTTGTGCTTCCACATCTTGAGGCGATTTTTTAACTAGGAATTTACCTTATGCAGCGTGGCTTGGGCAGTTGATAATTAGTGACCACGCTATCGCACTGCGCTGAGAACTTCCTTTTCTGTGGAGGATGCCTTCATGGAATGAACTAAATTGTCTTCTCAAAAGAATCAATGGTGCAGCTTGGCTCGAACATCGTGCAAATTTTACATCAAAATCTATAATCATGAGAGGAAAGTAGGGGGTAATGCGGTAAGAACATTCTTGATGGAATTATCATCTCGAATCTCGAAAAAAAAAAAGCCTAATCACAACTCATGATTCTATGAAAGTATGTGGAGTCGCTAGAATGCTAGAATACTGGTGTCGCAGTGACGTCCCTAACTCTCTTACTAATTTGGCCTATGATCTCGCACGCGCGTCCACATCTGCGCTAAAGCTTCGGCTTTCGTGTTAGTGAACCACTTACACAGCAATTTTTCGCTGAATTGAATTCAGCGGCATATGTTAGGATGAGCCAATGAATGCAATGTCATGACTCGCTCTGTTTACTACCGACAAATAGGGCAATTGGTAGTAGGAAACTGCGAACTTTGCTCTTCTTCAACAAAACTTATGTTCGGCATTCTAAGAAGGGAAAGTTACTGCAATCATTTTAAGATAGATAGCTTTTGACAGCTGTATCTTTAGGAAATAAGCGCTTACTCATCATGTCATCCGTATTTTGGGTATGCATGTTTTTTGTGCTGGCAAGAAAGTTTCGTAGTTTTCTCAAGGGAGTCAAGAAAACGTGTTTTTACACTTTAGAAATCAGAAGAAGCATTGCATTATGCTCACCCAAACAGTTTTTACATAAGAAACCCAGATAATCTTGGTTTCACTCAAAATTGCCTCTGGGCTGTTAATCCATTCTCATAGAATCACCTAAGTAGGATTTGTTATCCACTATCTTGAGGCGAGGGGGAAAAAGCGATGTTAGTTTCTTATCTTTGAATTTTGTCTTTCATATGGGAAAACGAGATAATCAGATCATTAGTGTCGGAAATGCTTGAAGTGTTTTGGAGCTTGATAAAGTTCCTTATGACCGCTGGACGAATGATTATTTATATTCTTGTAATCAAAACGAAATCTATTCCGAGAACTTCCCATTTTTTGCCTACGCTTCTGTTTAGTGAAGGATAATACTGTCTTGCATGACGTGAGAATCTTCATTAGTAAGCTCTTCAGACGTTACAGATGTTTTTCCTTCTAGAAACGTTTTCGCATCTAATTTTGCTAATGTAGTAGCCATTGCGAGAAATGCGAGACAGAGCTAATTTTAGAGAAGTCTTCGTGTAGCTTATCTAGTTGCTTGACTTGATTCCAATAACTTCGAAGTAAAAGATGAAAGCATTAATCTCAATATAAAAAAGCTGCACACTCAATGGTTTCCAGCACACACACTTTCACCTATTGACAAGTACTGATGGCTTTTTGTAATCTTACCTTTTGCAAAAAGGTACTTGAATAGGGGACATAAACGGTTTCGTGATCTTGCGCCTAAGTATCTTTTCTAGTTTCTTTCACTTTCCAAAATACCTAGGGGAATCGTAAACACGGCAATCATAGCTAATGACGGCTGCGTATTTTATTGAAGTACTCCGATGAAGTAGCTAAGCGCTGAATTATGCACGAGAATATGCCTATGGAGCTGCAAACAGCGTGAGCTCTTTTACGAGCCAGGCTTGTATGCGAAAAATTTTGGCAGAAAATCAACGGTAGAATAAAAAAGTCTCAAGTTTTTTGGTCTCAAGTTTCGGCAAATTTCCATTATGAATTCTTTGACGAGGGTTTTGGGGCGCTAAGTTTGAACCTGACAAAGCTACTTTCACAAGGTTTAAAGCTCACTTGCACTTTCTGACTCCAGTTGCTGGAAGCTTGAAGCAAAAAATCGAAACTCTGCTTTTTGATTGAGAAAATTGGAAATTTCCAAGTAGACTGAGGAAGATATAAATGGACAGGGAAATTGCAATATGGAAAGAGTTTCCCAAAATTTTTTCTTTTCCTATGCTGTGCTGCGCTATTCTTCATATTAGTAAGCTTACGTAATTGAATCTTGGAGCAACAGCGAAACGTTTTTCTAGAAAACATTCAAATGGGAAACATCTTCTGAGAAGCAAATTAGTGGAGCAAAGGATAACCAGTACTATTGAGAAGTTGCAAAGCTCTAGCATCTGCAAACGTCTTCAGCTTCCTGCAGAGAACTGACATGTCTTCGGATGTTCCTTGACATTCATTTTTGCACAAAGAACGTTATGCTACTCAACCTACAGTAGTCCTCATTTCTGCAGTCACTTTGTGTAATTGCACTTTTTTGAGATCTGTAGTGAAGAGGGTCGGAGATAGAGTTACCATAATGACTAGAAAAACGCTATAAGAGACGAAGAAAAAAGTCGGAAAGAATACAAGAATACGAAAAGGCGTGTGCAAATTTGAAAATAGTGCAATTAGTAGGTGACTGCTGAAATGAGACAGCTGTATGTGCAAACACCATACGATAGAAGAAAGGCTTAATTGTCCGCAGTAAGTAGCGTAGGTGGAGGCGGCAGCAGTTCTTATCTCAGAGGTTAAAATGTGTAATGTTTTGCCAAAAGTGAGCAGCCTCCTCCACTTTAGAATTCATTCTAGCGCTTAAATGGGGAAACATGGACGAAAAACAAAACACTCGCTTTAGCGCATTGTGTATGCTTTTTGCGGGCGATTATTTTTCATAACATTGCATTGCGCCCAAAGAATCGGAGGTCGCGGCACTAAAAACAACAACAGTGGGGCTCCCCACTACTCACTCTTCAAGCTTTCTGGAAAATAACATGGCAAGGCTGGCTGGGCTGCTGTTGAACATAGTTTTGCGTTATTCTTGTTTACGCGAGCTAGTCGTGGATAATTCGATATCGCCACTTATCGTGTAATTGCACACAACTCGCGTGTGGTACATATAAAGCAATTAGGTTTGAAGCAGATCCTCAAGAAGACGTGCAAAATTGCGAAGTGGCGGAAAGTTTGATTGGAGGGTTTTGCATGTGCGATGAATACGCAGGAGGTGAGGTGCAAAACATGAAGAACGTTGGCGAATGATTCATGTGGGGAGCCGAATCTGGTAATCGTCAATTTTGCAACCTTGTTTTGATACGGGCAAGGAAAGAGGGGTCCACCAGGGTTATCAAAAATCACCCAAGGCAACCTATCCGAATAAATAATGCGAAACTAGCGAGAGGTGTCGAGTGCAATGTAATCCGATGCGGGTCTTGTTTAGCGGCGATTTCACCCACCCTCACACTCTCTTGACAACATGCTAATGTTCACTATTTTTATGCAACGTCGGGACTTGCCATTTACAAACCTGAAAGGTGTTTGAGTTGTTTACCGCTGGTTTGTTTGCTCAAGCTGCTTTAGAAATGTCACGGTGGCTATGAATCGAGGTGATTTATCGTTGGAAGCCGAGCTTCATGAAGTAAAAATATTCTTAAAAGCGATGATGGAAAAGCTTTAGAGGATTTACTTTCTTCTTTTGTGTGGGATGTCTAAGTCTCGCGCAAAAAAATTATTCAGCTTAAAAGAGGAAATCGTACTTTTTCTCACGTAAGAAATCCGTAGTTCATCATGATTATTACTACAGCGAATTGAAAATGTCGAACGCAATTCGAAAATAAAATCTTTTGGCAGAGACTTCCGATTGGCAATTTTTTTAGCTAAGAGAAGGTCAAAAGACCAAAACCAGAGTGAAACCAAATTTATTTGGAGTTGGAATATTTTTGACAAGCAAAAATGGAAAAACACGTTTTTGTTAATTTGAGTTGTAACGATTTCCCCTCGCCATTTTATTTTGCCCAGATTTACCTATATTTATTTTCGCGTTGAATACCTCTAGAAAGCTGATGATTAACTCTCTCTCTCTCTTGCTCTGATTTCAAACCAGAAATGCTGGATTATAGAATTAGATGCAAGGTTTTTGAAATCTAATATCTCCAGTTTTTTTTGCATACTGAGAGGAAACGAAAGCATAGTTTTTTTTTTAAACTGAGAGATTTCATGACTCTATAGAGTCATTCAGAATCAGCGAGCTCAAGTGGAATCTCTCCTCCTTCACTCAGCTTATCCCATGAATAATCTTCTCTCAAATCACTTAGATTGACTAAGATTATTCACATAAGTAGGCGAATCCAAATATAACTTTGCTATCTCTTTTCATATAGGAAAGAACTTGGAGGTAGACGCATTGGCGTAGGCGGTGACTCCTTGTAAACAGACATGATTGGATTTTAGCTTGGATGAATATGTGTTTGGTTACTGGAAATGCGTAGCTTATAGCCAGCAAATTCAAGGGTTATGACATTCGAATAAGTATGAATGCTCGGAATATCTAGCTAATATGAGAGAACTGATAACACTTTTAAGCACTTTTTTTTCAAATACATAAACTTGTAATTCACCACTTTGGAAGTTATAGCTCTTGTCTGACATTGAAGTTTCTGGAAACGGCACAAGTCATTCGTTGGAATTCAGTTTGTCAGCAGGATTATTGAGTTGCAGTCAAAAACGAAAATCTTATTATTTGACTGGGGGCTGCACATCTTTGTACGACTGGTGGTAAAAAACTTGCTGAGTTGGGAATACCAATGGGTTTTGGAATGGCATTGTTTTTCCCCATAACATATAAACAACAAATAGTTGGAAGTAATAGAAGAAAGAATATTCCAAAATTATTATTGTATTATATTTGGAGATTTTGCTAGATTTTCTTTTATGATAATCTGCAACACATGTCTCGAGAAATCCACCGTAAACATATACGGAAGGAAGATATTTCTCGAGCATTTTCATTTCTCAGTGGCTTTTTTCCAAGGTTTACGATTCCTTCAGATTTGGGACTTATTCGGTATGTTTAGGGCCATATCTCGCAAAATTGACCCAATTTATGAGGGTACATCTCTTAAAAAAGCTTTATTACATGGCATAGCAAGAAATGGAGCAATATAAATGATATTTCTAGGAATATGACTTCTTCCAAAATCTTGAAATGCATGTTCGAGCCAATTTCCCACCTTTGTGCGGTCGAGACCACTTGGCATTTAGGTCGTACTACCATCCTTGCAAGGTGAGAAATTTTCTATCGTAAGTTATAGTTTGTAATCTTTGGAAGTTGTAGAACGTAATTGACGGTGATCTTTGTGAGCAATTTGGTTTGATGGATGCACCTGCACAGCGCGAAGTAATTGAGGGATTGGATAGGACGACAAGCGAGGTGAGTTATAGCATTTTCTCTTAGATTTTTGGTTTGATTTTTTTTCATGTTATTGACAAATTTTCGAATTATTGTGCTGGTTTTGTGTTATATAACTTAGGGCAACGCTAGGCACAATTTACAATTTGTTTATGTGCTTTTTCTTTTGAACTTCTTTTAACCATTTTTGAAGAAAATGGTGGAATCTTGGAATTTCTTTGTGATTATGTGCCATACGGGTTTCATTTTATGAACACCAATCAGTTTTTCGTTTCGGCAAAATGCTTTCCTCTGGGCTTCTAAGTAAGTCAGTCATTTATTCTTACATGCAGTTCTGAAAGAAGGGTTGATTGTATAACTGTAAAATCAGGCGACTGGCTTACTTCTAGACTTCTGAGAAATTATCACCAAAAGCACGAAAATTTTTCATCGTACCAAGCACGTCTTGCAAAGAAACTGTTGATTAATTCAGGATACACTTTTTTGAACCAATACATTGAATATTTTGGCTTCCGCTATTCATACGTCATTCTTTCAGATCTCGAAGAAGCTGGAAGACATACGCACAAGGTATGCGTTCTAAGTGATGAAAGCTGAAAGCTGGTGAAGTTCATGGTCTCTCTCTAGCGGGCACAAACAGAATTTGTTCGCAGCTGTTGCTAATCAGTCGTTGTATCATATTTGAGATTGTCACACGAACCGTAGGTTGTTTGTGCGTCACACACGCGATTTTTCTGCAATTCATCCATGTTTTGTTGATTGTTAGTGGTTGTTTCGGGGTGTAGAGAGACGCGTGTAGAAGCGCCGGATAATTGATGTGCTGTCGTATTTTCTCCGTAATAAATTATGAAGTCAGAGACTGGCACGATAATTGCTTCCAATCAGCTGTGTTAATGAGATAGGTATAATTTTTTCAAGTATCCGTTAGTACTTCCGGGCTCATTGTGCCAAACAGAAACATATTAATCCATTCATCTGTGCGCATGATTCAAAAAGGGTCTAAGTGACTTAACTTGCGCAATATCAGTCTTTTGTGATTTGACATTCTGCGAGAAGTTCAAAATTCAGAAGGCTCACAAACTGTACCAAGATTACAATGTTTTCTATAGGAATGTTGTATGTAAATCGTATAGGCGAGTTATCGCACGCAGAGACAATGCGCAACCGCGGAAAATCTCATCGTCTCTCGGATGAAGCACACCTCACATCTTATCATCAGCTACCTCTTCCAATACGTACTGTCTCAGTCAAACACAACTGTGATTAGTCTCTGCGCGTGCGCTGATCCCTTTATACGTTGAATCGTTTGGTAAAAAGGAAGGAGAAATTTTTGCAATTCACTTACGTGTGTTATAAAAATGTGCAAGTGACTTGTTTATTCTTGTAAACAAAATAAAATACATAAAATAATTTTTAAAATTTTTTAAAAATTCAAATTAGCCTTATTAAGAAATTTTTTTCGGGGAGTGGCTGACGCCACGCCCCCTTTTCCCAGATTTCTGTGGTTAGAGACCCGCAAAAATTTCCGGAAGCACCTCAAAATTTTTTCGGGGTGAGTTTTTTGGACCTCCATTCAAAAAAAATTTTTGCCGCCCCCCCCCCCTCCCCGGTCCGAAATCTCCTTTGACCGCCACTGGTATATGGTATGGTAAATGACCTCATTATTCCTCGCTTGCTCGGTGTTATTTACAAATTTCTTGCGCTAATTTAAATTTCATTTAGATTTTTAAGTAAAATCCTACAACCTATACTGAGATTCTCATTGCGTGGATTTGCGCACCAGCGCACCATATCATCGTATGGAAGAATATTGGCGGTTACAGTTATAAGTGGAAATTATCTCATCAGGTGCAGAATGGTGTTCCTAAAATGGTAAATGCGGAATCTTGGAAATTTTCACGTGATATATGGATTTTATCGCCTGTTGAAATCAAAGACTTGTATCTATAACGTAGTTTTTGAAAGAATCGATGTTTTGGAAGATTTTGAATCAAGGGATATGGTTTCAAAAAAAATCTATCGCCCAAAAAGTTTGATGTTCATTCACTGGTTTTACACTCCATCACCATTTTCTCTCGGCGAGCACTAATGGCGTCCGATCTGGCGATGTAATAAACTAAACATGAGTCATAAAGTTTAGATAAGCACTATGATAAGAAACATTTCTTTGGAAAATGTTCATTCCATAGATTTTTTCTGATAGGAAGATGCTCATACTGCCCACTAACATTCAAAGCCGACATACAAGCTCCCGGTACTGATTGAATTGTCTAAAAAATCGTGATTCATTCTCGAATTTTAGCTTCGCAGGAAGGTTACTGGTGACTATTGTGTTAGGCGAAACTTAAGTTTTGGACCAAAATTTTCTGATGTTCGTGATCTCCTCTGGGTTCATTGAATTTATTTGAAAAATAACAAGCTCTGCAAAGGAAAATTTGTAAAGAAAAAAGCTTACTTTTTTGAATGTTATCAAAACAGCAATCATATTGCTATATCACGACAGCAGAACCAGTTCGAGGCGAACACCCAAGCCGTTTTTTCAATTTATCCTAAATCCCATAGATAAGAGCGGTTTAATTTACCGGTGAAAAATGAATTGGAAGAAATTGAAATTGAATGCAGTCACCCCTCTAACTTGATGGATGGATAAATAGAAATCGGAGAAGATTTAGAAGAAGCTCCGCCCCTCATCTCTAAATCCCGTCCACTTAATAAACAATTCATGTAGAAAAATAGCGATTTTAACGGAATTTCGGAATTTCTAAAATTGTTTATTAAGGTGGGCGGGGTTTAGAGTTGAGGGGCGGAGCTTCTTCTAAACTTCTTCTCCGATTTTTATTTATCCATCCATCGAGTTAGAGGGGTGACTGCATTAATTTCAATTTCTTCCAATTCATTTTTCACCGGTAAATTAAACCGCTCTTATCTATGGGATTTTAGAGTATAAGTCCCAAAAGTGCTGAGAGGCCCAGGAATTTCTAATTTTACTTCTAATTTGGGTCTTATATTTACTATATTCAAATAAAATGTGCTGATAGGACACCTCTTTGGAAATGTGCAATTTTCATTTTTTATCTTGAGATTTTATTTCGTTTGAAATAAAATCCTCAAACCATACGAAATACTTTGTATAATACGAAATACGTCAAATATCATACACAATGAAAAAATACTGCGCAGATTGAGAACGCTGCTCTAAGCCTTTTGTACCATTTTTTGGAGTTTTTGACGCAGTAATTACGTTCTAATCTGATATATGTACATTTGCGCATGCCATTTTAGGCACAGTACGCTACAATTTCAAGAATCAAACATTTTTTTGGAACCCACAAGACATTTCTTGGAGGTTACAAGCAAAAAAATTTCTTGGCGGTTTTGATGTTAACACTATGGATCCCTATGTTTCTCGGCTGAACAACGATTTCTTCACGTTTAACGTTCAATATGTCCTCCATAGAGATTATGCAGCACCTGGAGCCTAAAAATTGTTTTCTTATGAACTCAAATGCGACCTTAATTTTGTGCTGCAAAAATTGTCCCAAACTAAACAGCTGCATACACCATCGCAGGATGACAGCGTCTATTTGTGCAGCAGTAAGAGGGCAAGTCACCAGCATGGATTTCAAAATAAAGTGCTTCGAGTAGAAGAGCAAGAAATACTAGGTTAGCCCAAAGATTCATTCGAACATTTCCCAAATATTTATAACTTCTCACTTTTTCAGAGTATTTGCGCAATTTTAGCTTCAATAAAAGATGAAATTATGCGAATTACAATACCTTTTATGAGGCTTTCTAACACGTAAACACTGCGGAGATAGAAGTTGCAGTAAAACCAGGAAGTTCAATTCTTCTCAGGATGACCAAAAATCTGAAAAATTCGTTAAAAATCGGAACAATCAGTATTCAGAGAAAAAGATGTATTGATCGAGCCTATGAAAGGCTATGTTTTTCGACCGCGCAGTAGAAACCGGGTAATTTGATTTCTTGGCATCTTATAAATTATAACCTTTGATAAAAACGCATATTTAGTACAAAGTTTTCTCAGATGGAAGGAGCAAGATCATGATAATACATAATAACCGCTCCGATTTTATGTGCAAATTTCAATTTTTGAAGTTTACACAGAAGAATGAAATTTTGAACATTTTTATTCCACAGGTAATGTATGTTTGCAATCACTGCATTTTAGAAAGTCGAACGCTTTTGTAAAGAACTTCACTTCCTTTTGTAGATGAAACTGAAATCGTGCAAATTCTTTGAAAGGGAGAAGTATGAATTTTTGAAAATGGTGCATCGATCAAAAGTCTTCGGTCATTGACATCATTGGCGAATTTGTGTGCTACTTGATGTTACTTTCAAGAAACTCAACGTTAACGCTAGAGTTCATTTGGGCTGACTGCAAATGCAATTTTATGTGTTTGAGTGGACTGGAAAAAATCCAGTACATTCCTCAAGGCTGCTGAAATTAAAAGCGTTGCGACTGCGTGAAAGTCTTGCAGCAATGGTTCACTACATATGCTCATGAAAATTCAATTTCAACGTGCTTGGAAATCCGAATTAGATTACTTTTGCTTTTTAGAAGGAATAATCACGAAATCATAGCCTCAGACACAGACCGGGACAGTCACAGAACGTTTGGGAGAGTTCCGCCGGGTGACCTGCGGAAGTTTCGTGAACCTACTGCGTAAGTCCACAAATGAGGTGAATTCCGAAGAATGCCAACCACAAAAGCAAGGTAAAACACAGCGAGATTGAACCTTGCTCTATTGACTGCGAAAATTGCTTACTATCCTCTGCACTATGGAAATAAGACAGATTTGGCGTTTTCAGTAATAAAAAGCATTTGATAAGAGACCACTAGATATAAACACAAAAAATTCAATGTTCTTGGTATGTTTTATGTTTTGGTGTGTTCGACAATTCACTCTAGTTGTTGGCAAGGCAACATCTTTAGAGACAACACATTCAAAAACCTGCGGAAGTACTGGCAGGTCGAAGTGCTGCGGAACCCAGCGTTTTTCGGAATTTCGCAGCGTTTTGCAAAAATTCCCGCGGAAATTTCCCTTTTCAACCAGTCTAACGTGAAGATTGGAAGTTCCCATTCTCAACGTTTCCACTTTTGTAATAGTAAACAAAATCCTGCGGAACCGCTGCAAATTTTGCTTCTCCTGCGCTATTTTCAGTGAGTTGTCTGAGACGTAATCCTAGGGTGCAAAAGAAATAAAAGTCATAGGTTTCTACTGGGTTAAACTTGAGCTCTTGAGTCTGGTGGTCGTAGACAGTGAGAAAGAATACAATTAGGAATTCAGATTTCGATGAACACTATGAGCTTTCTGGTGTACAAACGCACAATGATGGCGCTTATTTTCAAGGACAATATCTATTCAGAGGTTTTTCTTGCAATACAAAAAAAATCTCATACAAGGTCTGAGTTAGATAAAAGCATCCGATACAGAAGCAGATTTTCATGAACAAAGTTTAATGTTGCGTCCACTTCCTTGAGTATGTCACTGAACATAATTTTTTCCAAGTCTATATAAAATCTTTGCCAGAGTCTTGGCAAGAAATCATGGTTAAAACTCGTGAATGTTATGCACTTTCACAAAAAAGCCAAAGAACGATTTCCTCACAATAGTACAGACCAGTTCTTTCTTCGGCATCGGGTGCCAAAAAATGGTGACTTTTGAGTGACGATGACTGACTCGTTACTCGAGCATTTTTCACTTTCTGAGGTAGCACTTTCTGGCTTATTGGTAGTTGTTGTAACTAGTGAATGCTGCCATGAAAATTCCAATGTCTTTTCCATCTTTGAAAATCTGCCTTTGAATAATAACAATGACGAAAATCAATGTGCATGATTGCTGTGAAACTGCTGCATTTTTCTAGAAAATGGCGTGATAGTGTAATCGACTCGAATCGCTATCCAATTGCCCTTTATCAAATTCACTGCTGTGTAAAATTGACCAAAATCTATGCGGCTCCCAATGTGGGCATTGTTTGCTAGCCACGTAACGTTACTTTTCATTTCGTCGCCACATTCATTTGATCAGCCGCATTCCCGAATTTTCGATATCGCTACGTTGGCATCAAAGAACTATCTTTTCTTTGCACAAAACTATTCATTTGTCCTTTCGTTGCAATGACATATGTTCTATTCTTGATCTTTACGATGGTGCCACGTATTCGCTGTCATGCCTCTCTTGACTCGCAGTTAGAAATACAAAAAGGTGGAACGAGAGTGATGATCGCAAATCTTGCGGTTGTACATAAGCTCAAGTCACATAGCTATAGTCGAGATGACAGTAAAATTTAACGATGTTCAAAGTTGAATTGACTTTTCTCATTAACGTGTGTCATTGTTTCTTTTCCGCATTGACGTAATGTGCTCGTGCGAAATTAATTAACTCAAGAAAAACCACTTCTTGATTCAAATGATTTTGCATACGCTATACACTTCGAATGCAGTTCGTAAAAGGGAGCTTCTGGGATTTGACAGCGTAATTTTTCTTACATTTTTAGATAGTAGATCTATTTTTAAAAGATTAAGATTTGTTATCAAAGCATTCATTCATAGTACCCAAATCCTCATTAGAGTTGCGAAGTTTGACATGTTTGTTTTATTATTTGTTTCAAAGTCCGAAATGCTTTCACAAATAAGGGTCCCTGTTCATATGCACAGGTATGTCAAAATTGTGAAGACTAGCATTTTTACGCAGTAAAGCGATTATTCTTCGATATACTTCGTAATGTAAGTTTACTCGCAGCGGATGTACAGATTTCTTGTCAAAATGAACTAAAAAGATACCTTTTTGAAAATCTCCAAGTCAGTAGCACTAACAATTCATGAAGCATTGATTGTGTTATAGATTTTAAGCACATAAACTGAAAGGCTATTTCCTGAAAATCTCCAATCAATAGCGTTAACAATTCGTGGAGAAATGATTGTGTAATACATTTTGAGTACTCGTTGTCATTTCAGTGCTATGATCTAAAACCAGTGAGTGAACGGTCTGAGTGTGATTGTAACAACGGTAACATAAGATACTCTTCGTTTCACGGAGTTGATAATCTTCAGGGAAATCTGTGTATACGCAATAGATCCGCTTCTGAGATTAGATTGTTTAGATACAAGAATGTGCTGCACTGCTCTTCAGAGTGCGTACGGCCATTTCTCTCATTTTAACCCCCTTACTCAGCTCTTTGAAATGTTTTACACTAAAAGTAAAAATACATGATTATTTACAATGTAAATAAGCACTCATTTCTTAACAGACGAAGATTACAGTCGAAATGATGCAAACTTCATGTATTCAGCACAAGTTAGGCTACGTGGATGTATATGGATTATTGAACAAGTGATATTCATTATATCGATATCTATCCAAGTTCAGAATTTTGCTACTGTGGTCGGTGATTACACTTTAATTGCGGAATTCTATCTGCAGTACTGAGAAATGCCATTGTCTCATGGCCTTGCACAAAAAGCTTGAGATTTGTTTAGAGATGATCAAAGAATGACTCGATTTATAGTACAATCATGCACATTGAATACTTTTTTTACCTTGTATATTAGAGATTTTAATAAGGGCAGTCAAAAATCGATTCGAAAAAAATGTGGCAATTACAACTTTTGACAGAGAGCTTAGCTCGGCACGGATCGTAAAATTAAAATCGCCCTTAAACATTTTTTTACGACCCTTGACATTATTTGATGTGTTTGCCCTTACCACTTTGCGTCGTTACGATCTATCAACATTCCTTTTCTTTGTCTTGAAAAGCTAGAAAGCAAATATTTTACACTTACAGTGGTAGAAATAGCAAACTTCTTTGTTACCCATATGACATGGAAATAAGCAGGTGGCTTGCTTTTATCTGTGAAGAATTTGAATAATTTTCAAAACTTTCAAAAATCCAATTTAGCTCTGCAAGAAAATTGTTCAATGGCGTTGCTGCCAGTATGCACCTCAAAAAATTTTGATCATGGATCCACTAAAAAACTGAAATGATCCCAAAGATTATTTCGGACGGAGTGGCCGCCACAGTCTTTCATTCTAGAAGACTCCTGTGGCGTCCATCCCCCCCCCCCCCCTCCCCCCCGTCTCCACTCCGGAAGGAAAGTTCTCGAACCGCCACTCCTTGATATTCGAACTAAAGGATGTATTCATAGCGGAAGATTCACGAATTCACAATTTTGCAAGGTTTAAGTTACAAACTAGCATTTTCTCAGTACGTCTTAACCTGATTTCTTTTGCACTTTTTTGTGCCGATAAATAGATATTTCTTGTATATACGAATTTTTTCGTGAAGTTCTCAAGAAGAGCAGTTTTAACTGGACTATTGCCAGTACTGTTCAGCATTCAGAAAAGAATACTTATCATAACCACTAAAGATTTTTCATTCCAAATATTTTCCATTGAAAAAGGATACTGCACAAAGAGAAAATCAATGATGCGTCCAAGCAACGGTCTTGCAGTTTCTTCAAACATTCTTGAGATTGCATGACAATATGACACTTGCACAAAACGTCGTTTTCGCAACTTCTCAATCGATCGAATTTTATCATGCTTTTAATTTCACATGCTACCACGCCATCTTTGCATTTCGCACCGAAAATATTTGCAGTCGTCATTCCATCTAGTATCTCTCAAGCGGAGACCATTTACGATCGTTATCTATACCCATTTTGACCAGGTCTGACGCAAGACATGGCATGATTTTGTTTAGCAAATTTATTTGGGGAGAGACGGAGGAGAGGAAAGGGAGGCGGAGCGATGGAAGGGTGGTTTGATGGGCGGAGCGACCCTGTATATAATGGGGGAGTCGGGCATTGAAATCGCCGTAGGAATACGGGCTCAATCGAATGGGGGGAATCATGTTGGAAAGTTATATAGAAATCAATAGAGTGTATGGATGCTTTGCGAACGAAATGAGCTTGCAAAAAACATAATCTGAAGTGTATAAAAACCTATGAAACTGAAAGGGAGACTTTTACTGCCCCTTCGCACCCTCCCTAGTGACAAAATGTTCGTATCCAGCAAATTGCTTCACTTAAGTGTTTTGCAAAAATAAATAATTTTCGTCTCCATCCTTCCAAGAAACATCGTTAATGCACTATGTTTGCACTATGCAATTCCTGCGCTTGCCCGCACCAAATTCAAAATTTTAGGACTCTTTTCATAGAACTTTGAGTAAAATCACTTTATTTTTGAACTGCTAGGAGTTATCATGATTTCTTGTTGATGAGTTAGTAAAACAGTTGATTCGAGTCTTAGAATTCGTCGAATTCAAGCATATTCAGGAGTTACTCGTACTTTTGAAATGCTACATTTTAATTTGCAGCTGCTACAAACTCATTTTTCCAGGTAAAAACGACAAATGGCTGCTTCTAAGCCCGCCTACAAAGTCGCTGATATCGGTCTTGCCGAGTTTGGTCGCAAGGTAATTTCATATCTTATTTTTTCTCCACATAATTCGTCAAATAGATTTTTGAAGATCATTAGTGGACAGTGAAATTCCCAATGTACTTCTTCGTGTATTTGTAAACTCAGCATAAGGCTTTATTTTTCATATATGCTGTAAATTTTGAAGAGGAAATTTATCAACTTTATCACTGTAAAACATTGACGGCCACAATCCAGGAGATCATCATTGCTGAGAATGAGATGCCCGGATTGATGGCTATGCGAAAAAAGTGTGGACCATCAAAACCGCTGAAGGGCGCTCGTATCGCAGGATGTCTTCACATGACCATCCAAACCGCCGTTCTCATTGAGACATTAGTTGAACTTGGAGCTGAGGTGAGTGATTCATTGAAGCATTTATGGAAAGATTTGATATCATCGGCTCCCAGATTCGTGTGGAGGTGGAGTCTTGCCAACTCACCGCGTGGCGGTTTTTGCTAGCGAGAGATTACGAAAAGCAATGCTATGACGTGGAGGTTTAGCAAGTTTACATGTGTTATCAGGCAAAATCTGCAATACACCTCCACACGAATCTGGGAGCCGATCATACTTGATAATTTTTCGCTCGAATGCAACATTTCAGGTGCAATGGTCATCGTGCAATATTTTCTCCACACAAGACCACGCTGCTGCAGCTATCGCAGCCACTGGAGTTCCTGTGTACGCATGGAAAGGTGAAACCGACGAGGAGTATGAATGGTGCATTGAGCAGGTGAGTTCTTTCAAATTTTTACAGCATTGCTCGATTTCATTTGGCAAGATTATGAGAGCTTTCATCTCACTAAATGTTCTAGACTCTGATCTTCAAAGACGGCCAGCCACTCAACATGATCCTTGACGATGGAGGTGACCTCACCAATATGGTCCACCGTAAATACCCTCAATACATCCCTGGAATCCGTGGACTCTCGGAAGAAACCACTACTGGAGTCCACAATCTTGCTAAAATGCTCGAGAAAGGAGAATTGAAGGTAAGTTGGACTGTTGATTTTCAGTAATAGATGTGGGACGATAAGTTGTTCCATTGTTGGATCGGTATGGAATTGAGCTTTTCTAAATCAGCAAGTAGATGTGTTGCCTACCAAAACCGTTTGCTGTTATTGCCCGTCTGACGAGGACAGAGCATGCGATGATGTTGCTTTCTAGCTTTTAAGAAGAATAAGCTTGTAATCCTTGAGGGTTTCTTTGATGTCGGATTGTTTTAGATTTTTAAAGGATGATTTGATTCAGATTCCCGCAATCAACGTGAACGATTCCGTCACCAAATCTAAGTTTGATAATCTGTACGGTATCCGTGAGTCACTCCCTGACGGAATCAAACGTGCCACTGATGTTATGCTCGCCGGAAAGGTATGTTTTGCTTGATTCTTGATTCGTGGTATATTCTGATTGTCCGTTTCTCAGGTTTCTGTTGTCTGTGGATATGGAGATGTTGGAAAGGGTGCTGCTGCTTCTTTGAGAGCTTTCGGCTCGCGAGTCATCATCACCGAGATTGATCCTATCATCGCTCTGCAAGCAGCCATGGAGGGTTACGAAGTTACCACTCTTGAAGAAGCCGCTCCCAAAGCTAACATCGTTGTCACCACCACCGGATGCAAAGATATCGTTCGAGGACCTCATATGGAACTTCTGCCCAACGATTCCATTGTGTGCAATGTAGGACACTTTGACTGCGAAATCGATGTAAAGTGGCTGAATGAGAATGCCGTTAGTAAGGAAAACATCAAACCTCAGGTAAATATCCAGATCTCACTTTCTGTGGTTTGCCATTTCTTATTCACTTTACCAGGTTGACCGGTATTTGTTGAAAAACGGCCGTCACATCATCCTGCTCGCTGAAGGGCGACTTGTGAACCTCGGATGCGCCACTGGTCACCCATCATTTGTGATGTCGAACTCGTTCACCAACCAAGTGCTCGCCCAAATCGACCTTTTCACAAAATACGGCACTCCGGACGAGTACAAAATCGGACTCTATATGCTGCCAAAGAAACTGGATGAAGAAGTCGCAGCTCTCCATCTTGCAAATCTTGGTGTCAAACTTACCGTACTCACTGACGAACAGGCCGCCTACCTTGGCATCAACAAAAATGGACCTTTCAAACCTGACCATTATAGGTACTAAGCTGTGCTTTGCATTTTTGACAGTATCTCCTCCAATTCTTGCTTTTCTTGTCAGTTTCGTCATTGTTATGTTTGATATATACTGCTGATTGTGATAAGTGTGACCAGTGTTTTCGCATTCGTTGTTATGGTCTTCCCTGTTGTCGGCGGTTTTCATCAATTTCGGCTTGTTTCATGAGAGAGATATCTACGATAATAATAAAAATGTGCCTTACGTGCTAGCATACTTACCGGTGTGCTTTATGAGGTAATGCTCATATTAAAAATGCCGACTGTGGTTATGGGTGCAGCACCGAGCTTTTGTAAGTTTATTAGAAGGTAGTGTGCGGGCAAAACTCAACTTCTGGCTCATTTCGAGAGTCCACGTTAGAGTGCGAAAACGGTGAGGACATCATGAATATGTTGATGTTTTGCCGAGCCCAAATTTTTACGGTGAATCTTATACTGCCTTACGTTTCGACACGTTTCGTCTTCTTCGGAGGCCTGAAAGAAGATTGCAGTTTTGATCTGTGAGACTACGCCGCCAAACGCCATTCCCGTACTCATCGAGTCCAGACGTTGTCCCATGCACAACGTACTGAGATGCACTTCGAAAAAAAAACCAACCCTCGATTCACCGCGATATCGATGTTAGTAGTCCGCACCGAAGTACGGGACGGTAGCCGCACAAAACATCAACATATTCATGAGCACCAATGCCCAGATTCAGAGAAGAGAGGACTTGGAGTTTGGTGAGGACATCACTTCTAAAGCTTTAAAGTCTGAATTTGTACGAGTGGAACAGTCGTCAAGGCTCAGACGCAGAGCGTTTCGGGACACGGCTGCACGTTAGGAGGTACGCCTCGCGCGGCGACCGCTCTTCCGCGCACGCCGCGTCCAAATCTTGGGACCCACAAAACTCCCCGCTGTTAGAGAATTCCCGGCGGCAAAAACAAGGGGTGGGGATAGGGGCCATACATGACTGGAGACCATAAGTAACTTTGCACCAGGTGCGCTGCTGTTGTATTGGCTGAAGTACGTTGTGACGTCGCTTCGCGAAAAATTCGCGCCAATCGTACCTCCCGACCGTCCCCCTCGGGACACTACGACTCAACTGTAGCGGCACGCGTACTCTGCCGCTGAGCAGGAATCCGCAGGTGGAGAGATCTGCTTTCAGGCCGTAAGTTTCCCAGATTTTCAAACTTTTTTGCTTTCAAACATTATGGGCGTCGCACTTGCGCGATGACGTGTCCGAGGGGACCCCCTTTAGCATGGGTTTGAAATCCTATTCTCAACCTCGCTCGGACACTGACTTAAAACGCAGTGTTCGGACAGAAAGTCGATTATGAAATTTTGCGCTTATCTGGGCCTATTAGCTCTCCGAAAATCCTCATTGGAGAGAGCGAAAACATCGAGATTGGGCTCTACTGCAGGAGGGGGATCAGCAGGTGGGAGGCTGTTCACTATTTGTAGTTATCTTCCCAACTTCTGGAACGATCTTCTCGGTTTGGCTTCAAGTCAAGCGTTCACGTTTGACCGGAGGCGATGTTAGAACGACTAGCGGAGGCGAGCAGATCGCTCCGGAAGTTGGGAAGGTGATTTTATGGAGTGAACAGCTCTTTCGCGCTCTCCGATGTTTTTTGGATTCAGCATAGCGAATAGGCCCAGGTAAATACAAAAGCTTAAAATCGAATTCTTCGGACACTGCATTTGAATATAAGAATTCCCTCATGAGAAGTTTGCCGAAGTTTGGAGCGAGATACACTCGGTTCGGGTTCGAGGGTTTGGCAGATGATCGCATGAAAGTGCGGCTCCGGCCCGGAAATCAAGTTTAGACAATGTTTCCGACCAAATTATCAGAAACATATCATTCATTCTAACAGAAAGACTGAAACCGCTTTGTACATATCACTTGGACAGGTGTGACCTGCTCTTCCCCGTTTCTGAGTACAGGTTGCTTAACAGGCAACAAAGGATTCACCTAGTCACAGCTACAGGAGTAGCACTCGCCTTGATTAGAAGCAGCAGAAAGTCGAAGTCCATTGTGTAGTCCGTTGAGCGATGCCTCAGCTCCACTTATATTAGGTTGGTGCAAAAATAACGGCCGTTTTGTGCGAATTCTCACTTTGACGTGCTATGACTTTTTAAAAGATCCACATTTCCGAATGCGGTAACGATCTTCAGAAGCAGCAAACCTTCTGCAATACAGCGCACCTTTACTTATGCTCACATCACGAATGGGCAGAAAAATATGGATTGAAAAACAAAAAAGGCTCTTCTGCTAGAACCTTGTTTTTGACATTTCATAACTTCCTTCAAACTTTGTTATTATGAATGTAAGTAGCCTATCTTGTAGCCGCAAGCCAGTAGTACAAAGCACAATAAAAAGAGTTCGGACGAAAAAGTTTGCGAGAAGGAAAAAAATTAAAATTCGAAACTCCTCACTTTTTTCGACATTTTTTCTGTGTGCCTCAAAGTCCCGAATATAAAATGTTCTGATTTTCCACGTACTGAACAGCTGGATGTTTTTGCAAAAACTGCCAATAGGGTGCCCTAGCCCTACGCTTTCAGAATTGAGCAAAGCTTCGGCGATTGACTTCTTCAGAAGAAAATTATGGGTCATAAAATGACCGCAGCAGCTGCCCATGTTTAGGCGCCGATATTTCACTCTGGATAACTTCAAAGAATCCAGTTAAATATGCATAATGTAGACAATTTCTATTACATACAATACTAAATTTTCGGAGAAGTGCCATTGATACGCGCTTGAATTCTGGGCCATAGGATGCAATGAAATTCTGAATTTGAATGCGGTTATTTAAAGCTCACTAACTTTATAACGACTAGCCGCCTACCCGGCTCTGCTAGGCCCTGTCAAAAGACTATGATAAAGCTACCACTCCTATCCCTGTGCAACCTTGCCCTGTGCCCACTTCTACGTATCTACCAATTCCCTATTCCCGCTGTATTAATAATCAGCTCCTCCACCTACCCCACTATCCCAACTCCTAGCCCGTAGCTCGAACTTTGCAAAAAAATCGATATAATCGATAAAAGTAATGGACGATTTTAAAAACTAATATTGTATTCGTAATCAGCATGCTCGATTACCCCCTGTGCCAAATCCCAGCCTCGTAGGCCATACTATGCAAAAAATAGATAAAAACCGGTAAAATCGATATTGATCGATAACGAAAAGTAGCCTATGACACGCCCCCCGCCGCGGAGTATACCGTTTGCACCCCAGAGAGGTTCCCATGTGAACCAGCGTGCGTACGTGGTGCGACGCTGCCTTTCGCTCTTTTTGACACGTTTCTCCTGAGATTTCAACGGAAGTGCCCGAGGTTAACATGTTCAAAAGTGCGAAAGGCAGCGAGATGACGTGGTACCTATGGGAACCTCTCTGGGGCGCAGACGATATGTGTTGTGCCAAGTTTTGTCCAAATTGGTTCAGAAATAAAAATTTCCATTCCGCACATATGTATCTACGCGCACATAGGCATACACACAGACAGACAGATATAAGATGAGGATGGAAGCTTTCAGACACCATTAGATGGAGCATGTAGACAGCTTTTCGATCTTACACTATATCTATTTTGAGGAAGTATCGACGAAAAAGTTGCCCTGAGAAAAGCCTTGAGAAATCGGCCATTATTTTTGCACCAACCTAATATATGCGTTCTGACTGACCTTATATTCATACCGCATAAGGATTGGTATGGCGCAGTCCTTTAGTGACACACAGTTTTTTCAGCCCCGAAAAGGCGAAACATTCAAATGGAGCAGCCCGTTCGCACCGTCACTGGCTCAGCGAGATAGATAGAATGAAGAGACACAGACTGCAAAACGGCGCGAAATGTTGCGAAGCGGACTCCCGCCAGTCCAATTTCCGCCTAAACTGAGTTGAAACTTACTATATACGCATCTTTTATTCATTTTTGAAATTTTGGCGTTAATTCAAAACGGTCCAACGATTTGCGCATGAAGCTCTCAGGCTCCAACGGTAAGGTTTGCACCGCAATTTGTATTTCAGCATTATCATGGGGCACTGTACGATGCTTTCCTAATAGATCTAGCTGCTTTTAACTTATCCAAGCCATTTTGATGCGACAGCAGAGAGGGCTGCCAGTTTCACCAATGTATGTATCTCCGCATGATAAACATATGATAAGGTCTACAATACCGGATAGTATAGCAATTACCCTTTTTATCGAATGAGCAACGGTCCGAGTTGGACAGAAGCAATCGTAAGCACGATTTGAACCGATTAAGTGACATGCCATGCCAAGGTTCAAGGATAATCGGACATAGGCACCACCTTTCTTTCAGCTGGAAACTTCAGTCTTTATGATAGCGCAAATGCTGAGGTTTCAGAAACATACAACTACGTATGTATAAATGGGCCCTCAGGTGACAGTCGCAGGATTTTTGTCCGGGCCGGGAGACGACAAAAAATTTTTCAGGACAAAGTGCGTGGCGTTAGCCATCCACTGCAAAAAATTTTCTGTGTTGCTTCTCAAAACTTTGCAGGCTCATAATCTCTAAAGGAAAAGAGGACGTGACCGCAGCCACTCCCTTGATTTTTTTATAAGCCTGTTTCGAATTTTAAGGAGTTTGAAAATAACTTTGACCTTTTACAAATGCAAACAAGAGTCACTTGCACGTTTTTGTAACCCATGTATCATCTATTCTATGACCCTATGATTCAGTTACGATTGTAGAATTGCCCCCGAGCAATTTGAAGAGTTTATTGATTCGCAATCGTCTTTACGATCGCTTCTGCATCACGCCAAATTGCATTATATGCCCTCAAAGCAGAGGCGAGGATTGCATGGCCACCGGGGTCATTTACATGATCTCTGCAACGACTGCGGCTAGGAATACATAGGTGAGGCGCCCCGCTGTGTGTTCGCATCAAGGAACACTTGGATGGCAGAAATAAATCGCGCACATCCAATCCTCTAGGCACTCACCGGATTCAGAAACATGCGGGGACAAATTTCGGAGTTTCGGTGAAAATCCTGGCCCGCGAATCCCAAACATCAGCCGGCAAATGTTTGGAAGCTTTTTGGGTTCACGCGAAAAGCCCAAAAATAAATTGCAAAGAGGAATGCTTAACGATCACGCGTGAACTCGCGCCCTACCTCGGTCAGCTCTTCTGACCTAGTTTTCTGCTATAAATAGTGGTTCCCCTATGCACCTACTATAGCTAGCATGCAGAAATGTCGAGACCGAAGTTGTTCCTGCTTCATAACATGAAAGACGCTTCAAGGGATATCTGTGCCATATCCATTGCCATCATTCATCTTGCTCTCGCATCAAATCTCGTCGGCGTAACCCAAAAGGTGAGTGTTTGGCTATCGGCTATCAGCTGAGCTAGCGGTCTAACAGAAATCTTGACCTTTGCTCACATTGCTGCAGAGACGTTGTCAAATGGATTGCAGATCGTATACCCATTTCAGGCTCTGAAGAAGGCGATCTGCCGAAACGTTAGCCGATAAAGTATTGTAACAATCTTGGTCACGGCTCACAAATAACACACAATATAGTCTATGACCAGGAGACGCGCGACTGCACTGCGGACATCGACTGCACTGCGGACATTGTCTTAACAAGTTTTAATTTGTTCTTCCTTGTTTCCAAAGAGTGAATAAACCTGGACGAGATAATTGACAAGTATAGACCTGCTAGATACACGATTGGGCTTGTTTAAACAATGTGTGCAATGCAGTCTCGTTTCTCCTAATCTTGAGGTAAATGATGAGTAACTTTCAGAAATTTTGCCCATTCCCGTATCAGCTGAGGCCAATGGCCTCAGCCAGGCCTTATGCGCTCCCCTCGATACGCTGATGGCTTCCAGCTGCTGCGTACCACCACCTACTATAGCTAGCATGCAGAAATGTCGAGACCGAAATTGTTCCTGCTTCATAACATGAAAGACGCTTCAAGGGATATTTGTGCCATATCCATTGCCAACTCTGTGACGTACATGACGAGGTGATGGACCATTGTGAGAAGCAATAAGTGAACCAAAATCACTGTAATGTTGAGATTGGCTTCTAACAATAAGGAGAGGCGAAGTATAGTGGTTTGATAATAGCACTGACGATCGTCGAAGCAAAGTTATAAATGTGAACCTTGCTGAATCAACTTCCACGCGTTATCAGTCTCACTTCGTGAGGTGGTGATTCTTAGCACCTGCAAGTATGAACTCATTTTATCTACTCGAATATTGCGAATGGCTGTTTCCAAGCCCGCCTATAAAGTTGCTGACATAAAACTTGCCGAATTTGGACGTAAGGTGCTGCCACATCAGAAACGACATCAAATCTTAGACCAAAATGCCGGTAACCAGGTTTCGTGAAACTCTTACCCTACCTTTTTTCGTGATAATATAAGCAGTACTAAGTATAGCTTCATATTTTTCTCCCAAGTTGGTAGATTGAATAATTTTGACTCCTACAGTTTCCCATAAGTTCAATCAGTTTAGGAAATTATTATTGCTGAGAATGAGATGCCCGGATTGATGGCTATGCGAAAAGGATATGGACCACTGCAGCCGCTGAAGGGCGCTCGTATTGCAGGATGTCTTCACATGACCATTCAAACCGCTGTTCTCATCGAGACTCTTGTCAAGCTCGGAGCCGAAGTAATAAAATGAGGATTCAAGCCTTCAGAATATATTACCTAAAATGGTTTTATGTCAGGTGCAGTGGTCATCGTCTAATATCTTCTCCACGCAAGATCACGCTGCGGCAGCCATTGCCGCCGCTGGCATTCCAGTATACGCATGGAAGGCCGAAACGCTGGAGGAGTATGACTGGTGCATCGAGCAGGTGAATTTTGCTGAATTAAAGAACTTATTTAGCTTCAACCGTTTTCAATGAAATTTCAATGCAAAGACTGCTCAAAAATATTACAGACTCTGATCTTCAAAGACGGTCAGCCTTTAAACATGATAATTGATGATGGTGGGGATCTCACGAATATGATCCACCGGAAATACCCACAATACATTCCCGGAATTCGTGGGCTCTCCGAGGAGACTACCACTGGTATTCACATTCTCAGAAAGATGGTTATGAAGGGAGAGCTGAAGGTTGTTTTTATTTTGTTAGCTAGCAATAAGTAAATTTTTATGTTTGCGATGATGAAACGAAATGAAACGCGTTTTGAAAACTCGCATGCCGTCGTGGTGTGCGAAAAAAAAAGAAGTTCCGCAGCATTTAAGATTTAGCGCAGTTAGGATAAAACGTGGTCCTTGACCATGGAGAGATTTCAGTCGCCATGTGATTTGGCAGTTTGCCGGATGCCTTCAAATTCAACAGTGGCAGACCGCAAATGCATCTTATATATAAAGCTGAATGTTTGTATGTATGTCTGTCTGTGTGTACATATGTTCCGAATAGAAAATTCTATTTCTGAACCGATCGGGACCAAACTTGGCACACATACACTTCGGGCCCCGGCGGGTGTCATAGGCTCTTTTCGTATCGATCGATATCGATTTTATCGATTTTTTGCAAAATTTGAGCTACGGGGCTGGGAGTTGGCACAGGGGGGTAAGTGAGCATGGGGATTCCGAATACAATATTAGTTTTTAAAATCGTGCATTACTTTTATCGATTTTATCGATTTTTTGCAAAGTTTGAGCTAGGGGGCTGGGATTTGGCACAGGGGGTAATCGCCAAATCCCAGCCCCCTAGCTCAAACTTTGCAAAAAATCGATAAAATCGACATCAATCGATAACGAAAAGTGGACTGTGACACCAGCCGGCCGAAGTGTATGTGTGCCAAGTTTGGTTCGGATCGGTTAAGAAATGGAATTTTTTATTCGGAACATACGGCGGAGCCGGGTATGCCAGCTAGTATTGTATACAACCTCCATAGATTGATAAGATGCCCTGTTCTTTGCACACTTAAAATATGCACCCGACAAGTTGTGGACAGTCATGGACAGTGCCAAATCGCGTGCGACTGAAATCGCTTGAGGTATAGCGAAGGCCTTATCTCGCCTTAAACTAACTTTGGAATAATTCGCTATATACGAAAAAAACCACTACTGTGCTTCAATTTTTAGGCTGAAAGAGATCACGGCTTTGGCCATACTTTACCAGAGTTACTCGTGTTACCGGTGCTACCTGTTACTCGTGTTACTCGCCTTACCAGACGCTAGTAATAGTAACGCTAGTAACACTAGTAACGCTAGTAACACGAGTAACACTGGTAACGCGGGTAACACTATTATTAGGTTGTCCGGAAATTAATGCAGGTTTCTGCAAATGCAATTTCAAAAAGATCATTCTTCTGTGTATGTGCATATTTCGACCAATTTCGCATAATAAAAGAAGCCGCTCTTCATGCTCTCTCTTATATGTACTACTTCTACGACCAACTTCATTTATTCAAAATCTACAACCATCCGAAGATGGAGCTTTAAATTACTAAATTTACCCTTTGCACTATTTTGGCCTGAACTTATTCGGCAAGAGGGGAATTTCCATGATAATATAGCTGAAGCAAGATATTGAGTGAACCTACAAAATAGATAGTAGCGCTTCTTTTGAACGATTGTGAGAGTAGAGAAACTGAGGCATTAACATGAATAATTGTCGCGGCCACTCCATGGCGTAGAAAACTTTTCTAAAGAAACCAACCATGAAGGTCTCTCCTCGTGCTTGAAGAGTGAGGCCAGTGCCGTCAGATATCATCTCAACTGGTACCTCCCAGGCTTCATTTTTGGTGAGTTATTAAGAAAATCAAAATTATCGGAGATTGCAGCCGGGGAGAAAATATCGAAAAAATGGAAAATTTTGATTCCGCAATTTTTCTTTTGCAGAAAATTCCTGAAGAAAATTTTGCATAGCTATATATGTAGTACTGGTCTGCGGCTATAAGCTATAGAAGTTTCTGGCTGAACACTCACATTCGGTAGGAGTTTACAACTTGCCAAGTATGACCTTGTCAAAAAAAATTTCTTTTTACTTTCTGGCTTTCAGTAATTTGCTTGTTAGAGCTACAGTTACAAAAGAAAATGGCGCAAATAGAGAAAAACTTGCTGATCACAGTAGTTATTACCTCATTTTAAAATATACGATTTTAAAGGAGTTATGACGCTTTGAAGTGAGAATATGCAAAACCTGCATTAATTTCCGGACAACCTAATAATACGAGTAACACGAGTAACACTCGTAACAACGGTAACACGGGTAAAGTATGGCCAAAGCCCACCAATCAGTTAGCTCCGCAGCATCTTGTTTTTTTTAGATCCCTGCCATGAACGTAAACGATTCTGTCACAAAATCCAAGTTTGACAATCTTTACGGATGTCGTGAGTCGCTTCCGGATGGAATCAAGCGAGCAACTGACGTCATGCTTGCTGGAAAGGTTACCAATTTTCCTGCTTCTTCGAGTTCAAAAAAATAGCCTCTTTCAGATAGCCGTTGTTTGCGGATATGGAGAGGTGGGCAAAGGTTGTGCTGCTTCTATGAGAGCCTTTGGTGCCCGAGTTATCATCACCGAAGTTGATCCCATTTGCGCTCTACAAGCAGCGATGGAGGGTTACGAAGTCACTACTCTGGAAGAAGCTGCTCCTCGGGCTAACATTGTTGTTACCGCCACCGGATGTAAGGATGTTGTTCTGGGACATCACTTGGAGCTTTTGCCCGATGACGCTATTACATGCAACATAGGACATTTTGATGTCGAAATCGATGTCAAATGGCTTAATAAGAACGCTGTCAGTAAAGAAAATGTTAAACCGCAGGTTCATACACCAAATATTTTCACACTTTTCTTACTCGATTAAGTATCTTCAGGTTGACCGTTATCTGCTGAAAAACGGCCGTCACATCATCCTCCTTGCGGAAGGCCGACTTGTGAATCTCGGTTGTGCTACCGGACACTCATCATTCGTTATGTCAAACTCCTTCACTAACCACGTACTTGCTCAAATTGAGATGTTCACGAAATATGGGACTGAAAAGCAATATAAAATTGGACTCTACATGCTGCCAAAAAAGTTGGATGAAGAAGTTGCTGCTCTCCATCTCCCAAAACTCGGGGTCAAGCTTACCAAGCTTACTGATGAACAAGCCGCTTACATTGGTATTTCCAAAGATGGACCTTTTAAACCAGAGCAGTATAGATACTGATCGTGTTATGCATGTGTGAATATTATCGCTCCGATATCTTGCTTTGTCAATTTGCGTATCGCTTTACTTTCAATAAGAATTAAATCAAATGGTATGTTACAAAAATCTGATTTTGAGCACAGTCAAGTTGCTTTGGGCTTATCAGACGCGCTTATATATGAACTATCTAAATAGATAAAACGAGAAAATAAAACAAAGTGGCTCCTAGCTGATTGAATAAGCAGTGGAAGTCGCTATACAGAACATCTAGTTAGAAACAACGACGTCCACAGTTGACTTAGATCTCAACCGTCTTTATTTATCTGACAAAACGGTCGCTGAAGCCTACTGAAAATATTTTTAACACAGCAATAACTAAGAATTTTCCTGCCCTGTATTTCCAACGAAAAACGGAAAACACGAGGAACTGCTTGTTTTTCGCTTTTCTTTATTTTTTTTGGTAATTTCGCCAATGCTGCGCCTTGAGCTAATTACCCTCAGCGGCAAAGTACGTTGTTATGGATTTTACGTTATCGAAAAGAATACCTAGACAAAATATCCAACAAATTTGTGCTACGATGTTCAGTTGAAGTGCAGTGCCAATCATTTTGATGCCAAACATAGTACTGAATGAAAAGCGCTTGCATTTGAATCCAAAATTCCGTTTTCTTCAAATTCAAACACTTCTATGATGGATGATGTATATATCCCCATTTTGCATATATGGGCCATGATATGGGAAGTACAACTAATAAGGAATTATTCATCAGCATAAAACATCTCACTCAACGTTGTTCGAATGTCCATTTTCAGTGCCTTAAAGGCAGTGTCCAGAGTGAATCTAACCCTCTCCCCCCGATTAGTGCCGATCCTAATTTAGGCCCTAGGAGAGGGGCATCTACGTTGGTTCGCTCCTCTAATGTTATCTCTGAATGTAGATAATGGACCTGGAACAGCTAAAGCGCTAGCAAGCAGCGCCCAGATCCTCTCAAGTCCCGCCCACCAGGTAGTAAAGCCGTTCGGGTCATCAGAATTGGGCTCCCAAAAATCGGGTTTTTGGGGGTTTCGCGCATTTTGATCATAACTGTAATCAAGACCACGGATAGGCCCTAGAATGTCAAATACATGGAAGGCAAAATTTTGAGTGGACCCTGCCTTTAACGATAAACAAAGAGTGACGTTAGCGAACTCAGTATATAGAAATTGTTGTACAGAGCCAGTAATGCTAGGCTCTCAGTTTCACAATGTATAATCCATTTACGTTCTAATAAACCTCTTTTCGGATGTGGCTGAAAATCCCAGACTTAGCGGATTTTCTCACAATTCAATGAACGATCTCTATTTTCAGCTATTTTTTGAGTTCAGTATTCTCCGCCATTCCCCTGCACTTGCCTTTCCGGTATGCTTTGTTAGTTGTTTCTGTAGACATGCTTTCTTCCATTTTCATAGCTTAAAAAAAGTTTATTCCGCTAAAATAAGTCTCACTGATACATGATGCATATCCTTTAATATCAACCACTTTAGGCAAGCTGCTGGTAAAGGGAATAAAGAAGAAATTCCATCAGCTCTTGGTTTGGTCCTTACGGAGCAGCGACTTTTAAGAAAAAGCCGCAGTGCGACTGCGTTGCTTTGTCGAATCCCTCTTCCCTTGTTGAGCCTGGATGATGGCTTAAGCAAGTTCTATTCATAAAATGCAGAGACTTCTTGGAGCTTTCATGCATATGCAAGTGTGCTCTCTCAGTATTTCGCAGTTCTGATTCATAGCTTTCATTAGACTTCATGCTCATCAAAATAACAAAATTTTCATTTTAGATGAAAACTGGAGCCAAAACCTGTCAAGTGGTTTGTTTTTGCTCAAAGTTTGGTGTTTGCAAGCAAGCTTCGTGTCGGAAAGCCAGGTGTTCTTATGCATTTTTGATGAACGTAAAAAGCCTGCTACACTGTAATCCAATAACGACTGAGGTTCTCAAATTCTGCAGTTTGGTACTTTGCGTGTGATTATTAGCTATCTATTATGAATCTCATCGACGTTTAATGCTTGGTGCCTCGACATTTTTTGTAATTTCAATCCTCAAAAGCTTCATATATTTAGCAAACACGAGTGGTAGCGAAAGAAAAGATTGCACTTGTTCATTCCATTGTGCAATTTACAACTCAAAGGGTATAGGATTGGTAGATCTTCGTGCACAACTGTTTTTCCAAACACATCTTCAAAATTTCAAGAACTGCTCGTAGGAAGCTGTAATTAGGCTCAAAAAGAGGAAAATAATATCTGAAAAAGAGCTAGAATGTACAAAAGAATTTTTTTCAACTAGTTCTATTGTTTAGAAGAAAGACCGAGCTGATTGAAAAAGCCAAGACTGAACATTAGTAGAAAATCGTCGTTTTGATACATGACAGAAGGTCAGTGCGCTTCCACTTCTAACACTTTCTAGGAGAAGACTAGGAGAATAATGAACCGCAACTCATACTGAGGTCAGACAACGAGAAGTAGCATTCCACTGGCCAAAAAATCAAACGCGAAGTCCACAAAACCTTGAGCTAACACGCTTCCAAGCGCTTTTGGAAAGAATCTGAGTCGGGAAACTAAGGAACTCATGGAATATTCCTATTCAATTTGGATGCAAGGTGAACGTTAAACTCATTTTCGATCGAAATAATGAGCTCACGTCGAAGTTTACTGCCGTTTTTACGGGAGCAGTACTGCCCCCTCCCCCTCCTCCCCGATGGGTAACGAAATTTCTAAAAATGGTCTAAATGACTTACGAAAATATGCAAAAGGCTTGTTTTTACCTGTAAACATTCCATATAATACCAGAGATTTTGAAAATACAAATCAATCCTGTGAATAAATGAAATCTACCTACGTCCTTTTATTCAAAATAATCGTGTAGCAAATTCAACCCCCCGAGAAAAATTTCTTGGCCCGCCGCTGAGGCAAAGTTATTGAGTGCAACAAAATGCTGCAGTTCATGACAATGTAACCTATAGGCTAATATCGCGGATGTGGACCTTGAGCGTATGAGACTATTAGGGAATATATGAGTGTACTAGAAAAAGTATAAAGGTTTCGGCGTCTTCAATACCCTCTGCGGGTATGCGCCGAGCGTACGCTACTCTATAGTTGAAGAGTTATAGGGCATTCGAAAAAACGTGACGATGGCGCGACCGCGCGCGACACGCACACACTTCCTGCAAACGCATTTTCTTGGTTTCCATCGCTACTCTAATGGTTTTTCTGCTTACGTTTGATAGTATCTAGATAGTGGAAGTAACTGAGCTGAGCTTGAGGTGATACCTTTTTGTATAAGTGTTTTTTTGCTTTTGTGGGGGCAAAGACCGCAGTTAAACCCGTCGTCACGATTTTTTAAACGATCTGTAGATGAATGCGTAGGAGCCTTTTACAGTGATTTGCGGGGATCAGCCTATCATCATAATCATCTATATATATATAAAACTCAAACACTGTACCGTGTTTGTTAGGATGTTTGTGGCTTATAGACTCCTTTGTATGTGAACCAAAGAGGCTGAATTTTGTTTCCCTATAAACAAGCCACGGCGCAAAAGATAGGCTACTTTTTTCGACAATTCGCTGGGTCCTTCTATCGATTTATTGATTTGTTGCACTCTCAGTAAGGGAATGAAGCTTATCAGCAGCTATAGCCGAACCATTCCTACACTTATGTAAACAAGAGCAGTACGATCCATTGTGAACTTTCGTCATCAAAGCAAGGTCGAAAGCGTTCAGATGTAGATCCTATATATTCTGTCTAAAACTGCGAGATGCATCTTTTGCGGTGCGAGGTAGTAGTGTTGTTAACGCAAGTCAAAGCCTTTTTTTGATGCAGATGTGAGCCAATCGCTAAGTTACAAGCTGTCTCAAATTGCGTGCCACACTCTAGCGTTGGAACCTCGACATGAATTCCAGCCGCATGAGCGTGACTCTCAATCTGAAAGCTTACATCATAATTTTGTTTATTGACTAAAGTCCTTGAGTTTTTTTCATTAATCTGTTACTCAAATGGCTCACAAGTTGTGGATTACATATCTTTAACGTGGTAGAATGGCTGTTGCTTTGGCTATAAAGGTATTCGCTCTCTAAAGCAAGGACAGTCAAAGAAGCACTTACTTTTGTCGTAGTACGGGAGAGGAGGGTAGAGTGCGGGAGTTAAAACAGAATAACCGATTAGCGGCGAAGTACTAGGAAAAATGATCTTCAGGATAGCAATGGGCGCTACATTATTTAAACGTTCTTCCACCTATATCGCAATGCGTGCTCTTCAAGTTTTTTCACGTCTTCCATGTTTCAAAATGAAGAGAGACAATGCTGTTGAGTAAAAGTGTACACATTTTATTTTTATTTTTGCAAACAAACTTCAATGATACACTACTGCTTTGAGTGTCACATATATCCAAAGACAGTGAACCCTAAGTGATGTTATCCCGGGCAAGGCCGGGTACGACAGCTAGTAACTTATAATAACGGGCTAAGGGTGTTTACGTTTTTTTGTGTGTGTGTCTGTCTGTCCGTTACGAAATTCGTAGAGCGTGTTCCAGCCAACGTCCTGAGCCCAAATTTTGCATAGCGAACGCTACCTGCATGAAAGCCCACCATGCAAAAGCATGAGCGGATCCGTTAAGTGGATCCGTTGAAAATTGCGTGTCAAACAAATCCACTCGGCTTCTGACCAGCAAAACTGGGCCGGTACCAACACTTTTTGCGAAGTCATGGATATGTTTGACAAGCTAATGTGGAAGCTAAGGACTTTAGCCCAGAAAACTGAAGTAAAGTTGGCTACTTTACGAAGATGGCGCCAAAAAGAGTTAGTTGCGTAAATGTTCAGTTTGCCAAGGTTTTACCTCATCCTCTGAGAAGATTTTTGCACGGGGATGTAGCCCACGGTGATTACAGTTGTCATGGCGACTATCAGGCCATAAAAATTCAAAAAACCGATTCAAATTCGCATTAATTTTTCTCAGAAATGTTTCATCCACGTAAAAATACCGATCTCACACAAAAAAGCTCTAGGAATGAGTAGTTGTTTACGAATCATTCGTGATAGCCTGCATGGCTCGGTGAGTTTCAATATCATTATTATGCGGGAATGAGTTAAGCATACAGAAAGTAGGGCCAGTGCGAGCCTCTGCGAAGCAGAGGTGACGCACTGGTACTACTATATAACTGCAGTTTGAAATGGCTCCCGACAACGGGAAAGTACCATTTTGTGACTCTATATACAGGGTGTCCCAAAAAAATGTTAACACTGTTTGATCGTTAATTACTCCCTTGCTTTCAAGTCTTTCGCCGAGCTTTGGGTACCTTCTGTAGAGCGAGGATAAACTTAGATTTACAGTATCGAGCGAATCATCTAACGCTCCTCGTTACCGTAAAATTACGGTAGGAATTTCCAGCATGTGGAACCGCCGTGAAGTATGCCCTCTGGCAAAATTTTTTCAAAAAATCTAAAAAATCGTGTACTAGGGTTTTCGCGCACGCTGGTTTTACTACACAACTTTTTACGAGTGTTTTCAGCTTTTTTGACGGTGTAATCACATTTCTGACACATGCTGGGAAGTCAGTTATTACGCTTTACCTAGGATAACTTTGAAAAGAAGTATCATAATGAAGTGAAAATTTCCTATCCGAAATCAGCGGCTCTCATTACCATAGTACAAGAGATTTTGGCTTGTTTGGCTCTGTTTCGAAGCAGAAAATGGGCTTTAATGGCCTAAAATTCTTGTTACAGTAACGAGGAGAGTTAGATGATTCGTTCGATACTGCAAATCTAAGTTTATCCTCGCTCTACAAAATGGTACCTGAAGCTCGGCGAAAGACTTGAAAGCAAGGGAGTTATTAACGATCAAACAGTGTTAACATTTTTTGGGACACTCTGTATATGCACTAGCGGCCGAATAGTCAAGTCGTTTGTAATTCAAATGCACATCATGCGCGCTATTTGACGACTTGTAGATGGAAAGCTTGCTCATTTCCGGTAATCTCTCTTTCTTCTCTCTTCTGATTACGTACTCTAGTAGAACACATTATCGCAGTGAGGAGTGTAAGGGCATCGTTGGCTTCCGCGATTTTTGCCATGCCTGCAGCTATGTTTCGTTCCAGAGTGTTCATAAGTTACCACTTACATTTTTTTTTGATCGAAACGAATGTACAGGGCTCCCAAATTGCAGAGTCGTTTGCACCAGCGGTCGCGCGACCGCGCCGGCGCCATCGATCGAGGCGGCGTCATTGATGCTCGGGCGCGACGCGGTCGCGCGACCGCTGGTGCAAACGATCCTGCAATATAGGAGCCCTGTATCCTATAGGCGCTCCCCATTTCGCGCGTAGTGTAACGTCGCTGCATCTTTGTATGGGGACATCATGCTTAGAAGAGGGAGCAGACGAAAAAGCGGCGGGATTGCACGAGGATAGAGGAGTCCCGCGAATCCGCAATAGTGCCGCTTGCGCGGACAATATATGAGACCGGGCTTTATGGCGCTGTCAGTTGTCTGAAGAGAACAAATATAGATATCGAACTTCAGCTTCATATGAGCATTTCGACGTTTTGACAACGAGCCAGTTTTCAGCCTAAACTAATGAGAATGATCATTTCTTGAACATTATCATGACTTATAATAAGCGGCTAAGGATGTTTACGTCTTTTTGTCTTGTGTGTGTCTGTCCGTTACGAAATTCGTAGAGCGTGTTCCAGCTAACATCCTGAGCCCAAATTTTGCATAGCGCACGCTATCAGCATGAAAGCTCACTGTACAAAAGCATGAGTGGATCCGTTGAAAACTGCGCGTTAAACGGATCCACATGGCTTCTGGCCAGCAAATTTGGGTCCATAGTGCTACTTTTTGCAGAGCTAAGGGTATATTTGACAAGCTAATGTGCAAGCCATGAACGTTAGCCTAAAAAAGTAATGAAAAGTCTACTACTTTACGAAGACATTGCCAAAAAGCATTCGCTGAGTAAATGGTCACTTTTCGAAGATTTTACCTGATCATTTGAAAAGATTTTTGCACAAAGATGTAGCCCACGATGTTTATTGTCCTTATGGCGACTACGAAGCCATAAAAATTCCAAAAACCTATTCAAATTTGCATCTGTTCCTCTTGAAAAGATTTCATCCACGCGAAAATACCGATCTCACACGAAAAACCTCTAGGAATGAGTAGTTGTTTACGAATTATTCGTAATAGCTTACACAACGCGGTGAGTTTCAATGGAATTATATGCGGAAATGAGTAAGGCATAGATAAGGTAGGGCCAGTGCGAGCCTCTGCGAAGCAGAGATGACGCACTGGTACGAAATAAACTTACTAGTGAAGGAGCTCACTGTCGCTTTGTCCAAGAGAACTTTCGGAGATCGGAAGGCCCAGTGTATCCTCCTTTCGACATTTACCGCTACCCTTCTGGCGTCGCGGACGTGCCACGTGTGACTGACACGTTGACAACGTTGGCAGCAACACGTTGTTGGCGTGGCCAAAATGTTCTGCCACCATGTTGTGGCATGTTGCAAACATGTTGTTGCCACGTTGCCAACATGTTAGCCACACGTGGCAGGTCTGAGACGCAGACCAAGGGTAGCACGAGCTGTGGAGGGGACTATATCTTGCGAGACCTTTCCAAGTCTAGTCAGTCCTAGGTTCCTGTTCCCGCACCCGATGTGCGGCGCAGCGCGGGCACTCAAGTTTTCCAAGGTTGTATAGCACGATTGTAGCTAGAAGTGGAATGTTGGATTTTTCTCCAAGTTCTTGTTTTCAGACGTAGGGAGAAATTTTTTTCGCACCAATCCACTTCTTTTGTTTTACAGAGATTGATGGTTGCAAGGCAATATCATGCGCAAAACGTTGTGTTATTGGTCGCACTGGTGTTTTTGCGTTATTTTTTTACACGTAGACTTGCATCTATGGGCCGATGGTTGCAATAAGGCGTTAATGCAACGCATAACTATCCCAGATCACGTCTTTGTGCACATTATGCGGGGTTTCACGCGAATGCGGCAGATATTGAGCGAATTATGACTTGCATTGTGCGAATGCACGTGTTCTGATTGAAACTGGCGCATGTATTGTGACTCGCACCTCGAAATCCATGTTCGCCGTCTCCGTGGCGGACAAATTGCTGCGAGTTTTCGGGCACAGGTGGCGCCACGCCGCGTACTATTTGCACATGCCTCCCAGGTCTATTGATTTTCGCACCTATCAGTCTAAATGTCTCGAACATATTAGCCTAGATATCACTATTCGTATATTGTATTGGTGACAACAGTAATGTCGCCAGTTGTTGATGATACATTGGACTAAATTACTTGATATTGTTATCTTTCTAATTACAGATCGCCGCTTAGCGGCAAGCTCGGCTTCTGTTCGCGGAATGTCGTGCTCAGCCATTTTTATTTTGGATCTCAAAGGAAATGTGAGTCACTTAATATAACTCAGACTTACCACTTTTTCATGTGTGTTTTTTTTTGGTTTTCAACTTTTCGAATCGAAATGTTTGTCAGAATGGTCTCTTCTTATAAAGCCACAATCGGTTTTAAGAGCATTGTTGATTTCAAACCTGCCTTTAGAACCAGCCAAGTTTTTGAGGACGCTGAGACGATCTTTTCGGGTTGAAATTGAACGCGTACTAGAACAAAGTTGTTCAAAGTGCAAAAGTGGCCTAGTGTAGAATATCGGAGCACTTCAGGCAATAGATACCTCCCCCCTCCTGCGCGTAATATACTAATTCAAGATTGCTCTATTTTAGCGCTGAAGACGATAACAACTGATTATACCCCAGGTTCCATGCTCATTTTCGCTCCAAATCACTTAGGCTCCGGCCAGGCTTCGCTCAAAAGAGCTTAAGCGCTTAAAAGCGCCCAAAAACGCTCAAAAGCGCCCAAATTTCTCTGGTGTCTCTTCACTTTCTCATGTGGAGAGAGATGAGAGAGTGAGGGGTTAGACAAGTTTGGGCGCTTTTGAGCGTTTTTGGGCACCTTTGAGCGAAGTCTGGCTGGGGCATTATAACCCGGGCAGAGGCATTTGGTAGATATTAAAAACAAATTTGGAATCAGCGTTCAGTGCTCTTCAAAGAGCACTGAACGCTGATTCCAAATTTGTTTTTAATATTAAACATTTAATATTAACAAAGAGCATAGGAATTATGATCGGCTCCACGATTCGTGTAGAGGTGTATGCAGACTTTGCCTGATAACACAGGTAAACTTGTTAAACCTCTACGTCATACCATTGCTTTCCGTACTCTCTCGCTATCAAAAACCGCCACGCTTTGAGTTGGCAAAACCCCGCCTCTACATGAATCGTGGAGGCGTTGATATTACGAAAGGCCACTTTGACTAAAATTCTTCTTTTGTGATTAATCCCACTACCTTAACGCTTTTGCGCGCAAAATTCAGTTCAGCTTTGCTCTTATTCTTTTTCTTGTTTTTGCATGCTTTGCATTTCAAGGTGATTGTTGCACGCAACTACCGCGGAGATGTCGAAATGTCTTGCATCGAGCGGTTTATGCCGCTTTTGGTTGAGAAGGAGGATGAAGGCATACACTCGCCTGTAATCCAAGCCGGTGATATCAGCTACACTTATATAAAACACATGAATCTATACCGTAAGTCTATAGTTAAGAATTTATGTATAATGCAAGCTATGGGCAATAATGTTTAGTCGTGAGTATATCAAAGAAGAATATGAATGCAGCTCTCGTGCTTTCTTACCTGTACAAGTGTGTTGAGGTACTCCAGGAAACGTTTTCTTCTTTGAATAATACTATGCTGTTTTCTTAGGTTTTCTGCGAATATTTCAAAGATCTTGAGGAAGAGTCTGTTCGAGACAATTTTGTGGTGATTTATGAGCTCTTTGACGAGATGATGGATTTTGGATATCCGCAAACTACGGAGAGTCGTATTTTGCAAGAGTAGGTCTCTTTCTGTCGCAATTTAGATCACGTGGAAAGTTTCCTTGTATTTCAGGTACATAACACAAGAAGGACATCGTCTCGAGATTGCCCCACGGCCACCGATGGCAGTCACAAATGCAGTGTCATGGAGGTCAGATGGAATCAAGTATAGGAAGAATGAAGTCTTTCTAGACGTTATCGAAAGTGTCAACATGCTGGTAAGCGCTTGAAATTTCCTCTGTATAGAATCTAATTGAGTCAATGTTTTTGCAGGCTAACGCATCAGGAACAGTGTTGAGAAGTGAAATTATTGGCTCGATAAGGATGCGCGTAGTTTTAAGTGGCATGCCGGAACTGCGTCTTGGTCTGAACGACAAAGTGATCTTCGAGCAGGCTTCTGTCGGTGCTCGAGGTATATACTTCATCTTGTTTGACCATTCATTATGGCAACGACTATGAGACAAAGGCTCTTTTGTTATTTTTTGATTCACCTTGTATCTGAATACTTCTTATTAGAAACCTACAGCACATTGAGTTGCAGGAGGGAGAAGTGGGAAAGGTGTTGAATTAGAGGACGTAAAGTTCCATCAGTGTGTTCGTCTGTCAAGGTTTGAAGCTGAGAGGACAATTTCATTCATACCTCCTGACGGAGAGTTTGAACTAATGAGTTACCGTCTTACAACTCAGGTGCGAGTGTTTCATTTCATTCAGACATATCAAGGTTGTCTCTTTTTGTTCTAGGTGAAACCACTGATCTGGGTAGAAACTGTAGTGGAGAAACATACACACTCTCGCGTTGAGTACATGGTGAAGGTAAGAAATTTTGCGCAATAGCTATAAATCTAAATTAAAAAAGTTTTGGTTGGTTTGTATCTCGTATGCACCTGGTCCCCTTCCTACTCATTGTTTTTCACTCTCGCACCTGCGGTTGTGCCGCATACGAAATCTTCGTCCAACGTTTTGCACCATCTACTTTTCGTATTGTTCTATTAGAGACAAGTTTTGGTAAAGTCACTTTCTCTTCACTCAGAAGATCCTCTCTCTTTCAGTATTTTTCTCTTTCACTTCTGGCTTCCAGGCACGAATAATTTATCTACCATGGACAGGTATACATCATTATTTATTCTAACCTTCTTGTGATTGTAGCGATTTGTGTAAGATTAATTACAGATTGATTTGGACTGTTTTGTATGTTTTGCATGCTTTTTGATGTATTTTTGTCTTACATGTGATGGCTGAAATGTTACGAAACTCCAGCAAGTACAAAGTGCACGCAATCTATGTTTTGCGAGTTCATGAATGATTCAATTCGATTGCTGTTGTGAGCCAAGAACAGATGAACTGGGTTATCCCTCGAATTCAGGCTAAGTCTCAGTTCAAGCGACAATCTATCGCTAATCACGTTGAAGTGATCATTCCTGTCCCATCGGATGCTGATTCCCCGAAGTTCAAGACAAGCGTGGGCTCGGTGAAATACGTACCAGAACTCAATGCATTCGTATGGACCATTCGCAGCTTCCCTGGTACATTTTGTATTCTTCGATTCAGTTTTAGGTCCATTACTCTATTGTAGTATCGTTGATCTTAGTTATTTTTTTTTGCAAATTTTTCTTCGAAATCTTCTCCGTTATGTTGCTGTTTCGCGATAAGCATGTGTATTTTAGGTGGCCGTGAGTATCTTATGCGAGCTCATTTTTCGCTGCCCTCTATCATGAGTGAAGAAGTTGAAGGGAAGCCACCAATGCAAGTAAAGTTTGAAATACCGTACTACACCACGAGTGGACTGCAGGTAAGCAATTCAGTTTGCAGATTCTCCTGTTATATGTTTATGAGCTGCTTGAGGTGCGATATCTGAAAATCATCGAAAAGAGTGGCTATCAAGCAATGCCGTGGGTTAGGTACGTTACTCAAAATGGCGACTATCAGCTCAGAATGACATGAGAGAGTGCCACTCTTTTTGAATTTTTGCACGATAGCCACTACGTCTAGAAAGCCTCTTCTTGCTTTTTATGGTGTTTTCCTCTCCTTTCTTCACTTACTATTCATCTTGAATTAATTAGTGTGATATCAAGTTGTTGTGATGGTCTTGGCAGCTCTTCGAAGATCGATGTTGCAAGCAACTCTAATCATTTTCTTTTTCTCTTTTTTCTCGAGGGACCCTTATAACCTTATTATCTACACTATACAATGTATACTTTTTCTATTTCATCTGGTCCAGGACCTAATCTTGTGATTCCTCCCATGTCAGTTGTGATCCTTTTGAATGCCTTAACAGAGTTGAAGTTTATCAAAGACATATTCAAGTGCTTAAAATTTATTGAATAAATTAATTTTTATTGGACGTTAGTGGCAGGGTTCAGCACAGATGGCGCTTTACGCTGGATGTCGCTTTTTGAGATGAAAGCAAAGGAGAAGCCGTAAACTTCCCACCGAGCGAAATATTAGAAAGCACAACTCCAACTCTTAGCGAGTCCAAACTTGAAGGTATAACATACCCTCGATATCAACCCATATGTCTTGCCTCAACATGACGTGGATTACGTGGCTTGATGAGGCGCCGCCTCGCCTCGTTGCGAGCGCATCATTTGGCGCCACGTGGCGCTCAACACAGCGTGGCGCAGGCTTTTCCACGTTCTTCTTGTTGCCACATCACGCCGAAGATGCGCAAGCAACGTGGCGCAAGCCCGAGGCGAGGCTGCGCCTCGTCAATCCTCGTAATCCACGTCATGTTGAGGGAAGACATATGGGATGATATCGAGGGTAATTATTTTACTAATTACATGAGAATTAGCACGTTAAAAACACGACAAATGCACAAGCCTGTGTGCACACGATTTCAACATGTCGAAACATGATCTTTACGCAAAAAAATATAAAAAAATCAATTTGTTTACAAAGTAAACAATATTGAGCCACCAAATTTGGTTTGTATATAGTATAGTTATTACCGAATATTCGTGTTCGAATAATTTATTCGAAATATTCGACTATTCGGATATACAAATAGTCGAATATTCGAGAAAGTCCAATTATTCAATTTTTCGAATAGTCGAATAAATGAAAAAGGCCTGGCAACATTGGCCGTCCATTCCTTCATCCAGGTATCTTTACTTGCTTTGCCTGCCTAATCACCGCCCGCATGTCAAAATACTTGAAAGATACGTTAACCAGCGCAAGGCCAGAGCAAGGTCGCTAGGAACTGAGCCGCTTGACTTGTGTAGTCAGCGTATATGACAGTCATCATACTCAAAGGCTGCATTTATAATTAGGAGGCATAAAAACCAGTGTCAAATTATTGTTATTGCAAAGTTCATAGAGGAATAATACCTCTAGTAGGTTGAACAATAATCATTGTGAATTTGAGTAAAAGATGTGTGAGGTCCCTTACAACAAAAACAAACCTCAGAAATACATCTAAAACAACTTTGTGTGAATTCAATCCTACAACAGAAGCTGAAACTCAGCGGTCGATAATTTCCGATAAGTATTAGATTAGCAGCTAATATATTAGGTTGGTCCGAAAATTCTGTCCCACCATTTTCAAAAAATCATAACTTCTTCCTTACGCAATAGTTTTGCATGAATAAAAATATCTTGGAAAGAGCAATTCATGCACTTTCTAAGTCTACCTTGGATGCTATCTACTACACTCTGAGTGCAGAGATAAAATTGGAAAAAGAAAATCACTTCAAGTTCGGAACTTTTAAGCAAGCCCGTTAAAAAATACAAAGCTGTGCCATAAATTCAAAACAGCCACTATCCTAGACTATTTTACCCCTCTTCCTGGCTAAGCAAAATTCGCGCTGATCTGGCTGTTCTTCGATAAGTTATGATTTTTTCAAAAAAAATGTCAAAAAATCAATTTTCTTGAGAAACTGATTTTTAGGCATCTTTTCTTGAAAATCATAACTTCTTTCAAAAGAGTTCGATCAGCGCGAATTTTGCTCAGCTGGAACGAGGAGATTAAAGAACCTAGGATACTGCTTGTTTTGGATTTTATGGGACACTTTTGGATTTTTTAACGGGCTTGCTTAAAAATTCCGAAAATGAAGTGATTTCCTTTTCCCAATTTTAACTCTGCACTCGGAGTTTAGTAGATAGCAGCCAACGCAGATTTAGAAAGTACATGAATTGCTCTTTTTAATAGGTTTTTATTCATGCAAAAACATTGTGTTAGGAAGAATTTATGATATTTTAAAAAATGGTGGGACAGAACTTTCGGACCAACCTAATACATATTGTATTGGGTTGGTCCGAAAGTTCTGTCGCACCACTTTCAAAAGTTTGTAACTTCTGATTTTCAGAACCAATTTGCTTGGGTGGCGAGCAAGAGGAACGATAGCTGATGGGTGTCAATAACTCGCGCACATTTCACCGTCATTTTTGTCCATCAGCACATAGAAGCATTTCCTTCTTTTATGCTTTCATCTAGGCAGGAGAATCGGATAGATTGTGTTTGCTCAAAAATGAGGTGTGGAAAATTTGCTGAAAATGTTAAAAAAGGGCTTCAAAGGTGTAACTTCAAGTATTTTAAGCTTATTCCTGCGAGAACATCACGGAATTGCACATACCAACGAGATTTAAGCAAGATTTATACATTACTGAGTAGAGCATTGATTTCATATTTACCACTTATAAGTCTGCAATTTGCGAAATGTGAAGGCAAATAGTGCATTGGCACCAACGGCTGGCAATTACTATCGTTCCTCTTGCACCACACCCAATTTGCTTGCTTCTCTTTTGTTTGAAAGAGCAGCTCATGCTTTCAACAAAAGTACCTTAGTGGCGTCTTAATATGCATACGTTGCGTAGATATAAGTGGTAGACAAAAATTACTCAAATTTTGTATTTTCTGTAAAGCGTCACAAAAAATCAGTGACTTGCAGTAAAAATCGGAGCAGTCAGTATTTTAGGTTCTATTACCAGCTCTTTCTAATCGTGCAAAGCCTGTGCTGTTTGAGCGCCTCTATGAAAAGTTATGATTTTTGAGGAAAATGGCAAAATAAATCAAAATTCCTCTTTTGTATTGCTGCTCGAAAATCATAACTTTTCATAGAGCCGCTCAAACAGCACAGACTTTGACGATTAGAAAGAGCTGGTAATAGAGCCTAAAATAAGGACTGCTCCGATTTTTACTACAAGTCTCTGATTTTTTATGAAGCTGCACAGAAATCAGAATTTGAATAATTTTCGTTTACCGCCCCTATCTATGCAATATATGCATACTGAGACGCCGCTAAGTGAAGTCGCCTGCACGAAATCGCCCGGGTTGTTGTAAGCTGAACGCACGCGAGCGTGCCTGCAACGCGGCTGCCGAGTACGGGCGCTATGATGACTCATGCGCGCGAACGCCAATGTTAGCTCGCAAGAGACACGCGCGCGGGTGCTCATTCCGGGCATTCCGTGCAGTCAACTATATCATTATGAAGAGCATGAGTTGCTCTTTCAAACAAAAGTAGAATGTGCCGACTTTGTCGGCACCTTCCTTGCAACTTATCATTACTTCTCCTAAGCACCTAAAGGTCATGCCATAAGCATGACCTGCTGTGATATGGGTATACTCCTGCTTCGACGTTTATATGTTACCTTACTCCGCCTATGATCGTCAGCATTCTACCGCTGCACGAATGGGTGCATGTCGTCTGTTGAATAAAGCCTGAATAGCTTACGTTTTCTAATAACACATCAGGAGCCACCATACTCCACTACAGGCGCTACCCATCCGCCTAAGGCTGCAATACAGCCTACTAACCACTACATTTATGATGCATCGGCCAAATACGCAAGGATGATCATTGCTCGCCTCAGCTGCACTGAGGTTAGCTATTCTAACCTTGAGACCTAGCGCCAATCCGCTGCCTCGCATTCGCGACAGCCACTCTCTCCCACAATCCGGGACAAATTATTCCCAATTTTCACTTTCACTTTCACTTAACTAGCGAACGGTTCAAGAGCAGCCATACTTTGCCACTAATCGCAAATTTTTGCATCAAAAATGTTTTTGAAATTCTTCAAAGAGGCAATTTCATTTCACTCGTTAGCATTAGCAAAACTGCTCAAAAAATTCGAGTTTTTTACCGATGTTAAATTCACTTTGCAGCACAATCAAAGCTTGAAAAAGAAATGTTTTAAAAACTTACATTTTCTCCTTTTATCCTTATCGCAAGTTAAAGCGAGATCGACAATTTTGTAGTCAATCGTCGACAAATTTGAGACATTTTATCTCGCGCAGTTCAAACCCGGAAGAAAAATAGTCATACTTCAGCTACAAAAGCTTGAGAAGGAGGCTGCCTTTTAACAAATGCTTTCTGCTTATGTTTTTGTTTGTATTGTAGAACATCAAATCCTATACTTAGAAACATACAAAGGCAATTTTGAGATGAGCCAAGTAATCCGAGAACTGCAATCCTCCCTGTTCAACACCTTTTTACACGACGCGGAAAGAGAGATGGATACTCTAGCGACAAGCGTAGATTTCTCGACATTGGAAGAAGAAGGAAAGTGAAGAGCGCTTCAGTCAGCATTCGGAAGACCGCACAGTTGTGGCTCGCGGAGATGCCATGGATGGCAGCATACCACCAGTAGATGACAAACAGACCTTGCAGGTCATTATGCGTGGAGGCCATCAGTTGGAAAGACGCAATGATGAAATTGGCAGACACTTGTATGGTAATGCGTAACGATGCAAGAAGTAAGAATAACCCACAATTACATTCCCTATACTCTCTATCTCCACTGTTGATGAAAGCAAAGTACTGAAACGTCATCTATTAAATTTTGCCTTACCACTATCTACTTCCTCACCATCTCATGCCAGCTGTCACGACTACACCAACTTGGACTCCCCTATCTGTTTAACTGCTCAGGGACGCCCACTACGATATCCCGATAACAGTGGCGTACCCAGGATTTCGGCTCGGTGGGGGCGCGACAAAAATTTTTTTTCTAAAGAAGGTGCGTGGCGTTAGCCACGCACTCCGAAAAATTTTTGGGGGTGCTTCCCAAAATTTTTTCGGGTCCCAGACCCCTAAAATCTGGAAAAAGGGGGCGTGGCGCCAGCCACGCCCCCAAAAAATTTTTTTTACAGGGCTAATTTGAATTTTTAAAAAATTTAAAAAATTGTTTTAATTATTTACAAAAATAAACAAGTCACTTACACATTTTTATAACCCATATAAGTAACTTTCAAAAATTTCGCGACCCATTCTCGGGGGGGGGGGCGCGCGCCCCCCCCCGCCCCCCCCCCCCTCGGTACGCCACTGCCCGATAAATATGAGTATTTCTGTATTAT